CTTATTAAAAATAAATGGTCTTTATGTTATTTTATTTGTGCATGAAAAAATAATTTCTATCAATGGACAAGTGTCCACTCTATTATTTAAACCTTTTGAGACAGTTTCAGACTAAAAGTAAATAGATCTTAGAACCAGAGCAGTCCAGGCTTAATTTGATTGTGTCATTTCATAAAATGACAAAATGCTTCTTTCAAAATTGATTCTTAGTGGATGATTCCATAGTTTTTGTGTAGAATCGGCTACACCCGATCCCATTAACCTCACCTTGTTATCCCTAAAAATCCCTAATTTCTCGGCCATTGCTTTAAATTACAATGTAGAGTAGGCCGCACAAATGATCTACTTATCTGTATATATTCCAATTTCACAATGTAGACTCATACTGATTGTACTGATGATTGTACTGATGAAAAACCAGAGTCACAAGTTGTCATATTTGGAAGGAGAAGACTAATTTATAGGTCTTGGTCGGGCATGCATTATTGGATTCACACGGACATAGCTTTGTCAATACAAAATTGAAATGCAACCCCCATCAAACTATAAGCTCTGTCCGACACCTGTACTGTGTACACCAAACCGCTTTGTTTAATTAACGTGGTTTAGAGTATTTACCTTTATATGCATATGAGGTCGTAGATTCGATTCCCGCTTTTAATTAGCGTATCAAACTGTCAACTGTTTTCCAATTGAACTTCTGAAAATTAACTTCCAAACACAAACACAAACCTTAGTTTGACTGTACTTTGTCTTTGATACGATACAAGCAAGTCTCTGTCCTTTGAATGCTTTCATTCTCTCAGAACAATGATAGAATCCATGAGACGAGAGGGGTTCATGGGGATTGCATGGCTCCAAGATTTGAACAGCCTTGTCTATGTGCATTTGAGAAAAAAAATAAATTTTTTGGGTATTTGTGTGGAAGGGATGAGAGGGGACATGCTTTGGTCTAGCATGAAAACCATGATTTGGACATGTCAGGATATGGGGGCTTAGTTTATATACAGCCCCATGTGATCCCTAAGGCAAAAACCTTCCATTTTATCAAGTGGAAAGTGACACAACTAAATCCCTCTTTGCCCCACCAATGTTTTTTTTTCCCCTGCATATTTTCAAATAATTTTTTTTTCCTTAACTGTATATACAATTTGTTTGTTTTGTTTACCATGAGTAGCAACTCATCAGGTCCCTCGCTGAGTCACTATGCCCCATCCATCTGAGTTTAGGGTACGTGAGATTTGAATTTGCTAGAAGGACATGTGATATTTTCTTGGCACGCCAATGTGTGTTTGTGAAAGAGAATGAAAGAAACAGGGTGAATTAAAGTAGGAGTTGTAGTTTGACTAACTAATCCTCATGACCCAAAGTCTTGGAGAGAATTCAATCGAAACCATCTAAATTGATAGATGTGTTACCCAAAGAAAATTATATAAATGGTTGTGTATATAGTCTTTATTACGTGTTACTCATGCGACGAGCGAATGATAAAATAATCTATCGTTTTATTTGACGGCCTTAATTATGAAGAGCTTCTCTCTTTATTCAAGTACAATTGAGAATTGTGGTGGGTGCCATCAGCCATGTTCTTTCCTCTACCCTCGAGGCAAGTTGAGCAATCTAAAACATGAGCAAATTAATATTATCACGAGTCTCCTACTTACCAAACAGAAGCATTTGAAGGATTAAGAAATTAAAAAGCAATGAAATTACACAAACAGATATAATAACTCAATACCCTCAGTACGAAAAATTCAATGAACATGTTGTTGTTGTGAACGTGGGCTGCTCAAGCAATGACAGCTCCTAGCTATGATTTGAGGACTTGAAAGTAAAGTATTGCTAACAAGTCTAAAACGACCATTACTCTTGTACTTTTCCTATTCATTTGACTCTTAAGAATTATTGTCCGTACTTAAAAGTCCAACCCCATGGAAAAAAAATATTACGTAACTTTAATGAGGACCAAGCCATATATAATCATTATAATTCAGTACACAATAGTGTGATACAAGACGCGGTTTAATTTATTTACGTGCTATATAGTGAATTTATTAATATTATACTTTAAAAGTGAGAAACAATAATTATATTGTTCACTTATATTATAACACGTGAACAAATTATACCACTAAACCGTACTAAAAAAAGACGGAGGAAACTTCAAATGTTACACAAGCCCAAAGTTCCAATGCTTACTTGGGTTTGGTTTTAAGAGCCCATGTATTTTCTTGGAGAACATGTTCTGGTAAGGAGCTAGCTCCAAGAGCATGTACATGAATGTTTAATTAAACCATCCAAATTAACCTCCATGAATGATGATGTATAACCACGGCAGTAATTAGATATGTGATTCATATCTTTTGTTCAATCCTATATACCCGCTCTACTTTATAACCACCCTTACGTGTTACTCAATGATTAGAGAATCTCTAACAGACTCGGCAAGCTTTATTAAGCTACTATTGTTGGAGATGCTCTAATCTTTTAAACTATAAAGCCAAGAGCTTTTGTTTGCAATGCAGATAACTTTATTTAGCTTTTTGAAGATGTAAAACTTTATGACTTTAATTGCAAGTTATAAAAACTTCTTCCATGCAACTTAAAGCTGATAAAATTTTCAATTACAAAACTGGGTGTGGACAAGTCCCAATGCTTAGAAAATTAACGTTATAAGCTATACATAGGTCATATATTACTGTCTTTTTGTACACTTTATTGAATGATAAGTCATTAAGGTTAGGTGTTTGTCTGGTGGCCATGATTAAAAAGCAAATAATCACAAGTCATTGCAATCTAATTCATTTGCATATAGAATTGTAAAGTAAGGTAGGAGACAAGGTTTGCTTTTGGCTTGATTTTCTTGTTTGCTTAGGGTCCATTGTGCCTCTATGTCCTCCTCTTTCATTGTTTTGGCTAAGCTAAATGGTGGCTGCAAGCTATCAAAAGAAGTGCAAAGACCATGTGTTTCCCTCTAAAAAAGAAATTTATCTTGTTTCAATTCAAGTCCCTCTCACTGAAACAAAAGTTTCCAGATGATGATTTGGTCATCTATAAAAAAGATCATATTATATTATTATGAGCTACTTCTTTAAATAGTATATAATATCTTGAATATAATTGATGTTTGGTTTTGATTTTGAAAGTTGTATGGTTGTTTTTTTTGTTTTTGAAAGAAAGCGACGAATTATATTGAAGCAAAATCACGATTACTTAAGGTCACTTAACAAAACATCTTGAATGATATCGGGAGGATCCCCATATCAACAAAATAAATTTGATCAAGATAAAGCGTAACAAGCACGTCTATGAGCTACTTGATTAGTTTCACGAAAAACATGAACAATCTAGCACATGAGTCAAAAGAATTATGCAATCTTCAATAATTTATATATTTTTTTTCATGCTATGTTTAGTCAAGTATATATTATATATGTCATGATTCATGATGATAATAGAGAGCTTGATGGTTGCATTTGACCTTGTTGCTGGCCGATCGACGCAATGAAGTGTTCAGCAAGGTGTTTGACCTAAAAAAAAACCAATTGAATTGATATCCTAAGTCAAAAATGACTCTGCCCCTCCCCAAAGAATCGGTGGATTACTTGGAGATGAGATTTGGGGCCATATAGGACTTAGAAATCCCATAAGGTCAAAATACCTTACAAAATATTAAAAATTCAAGCTTGAAATATGAGAAATGCAACATCTGGGCAGCCCAAAGGCCCAAAGAAAGTTGAATTTGGGCTGAAGTGTTTTCAACAACAAAATCAAGAAAAACTCAAGGACCCATCAAATTTTTCATATATATATTTTTTTCTTAAGGGGTAAGTTTGAAACTCTAAAATTTGCTAAGTGGGGAAAGATACTTGTGTTGAGTGCAAATAAAAGTAACTTTTGAAAGCGCTTTTACTCGTGTCAATGTTTTAAATACCTCGGTCATCATTCATTCATTTAATGAAAACAGTTTAATAGATAAAATTAAACTGAAAATGCGGATAATCGAAGTTTAAAAATTTTCAATTTAACCAATTTTTTCATGAACAATCCAGAAATAAATAAAAAACTTAAAATTAAATATTTTACAGCTCAAAAATAAGATTTCGTTATGTTTGTTAAATAAGTACATCCGATCATTAGCAATTTAAACCCAAGAGTTTGATAATGAGGAATCGTAGAGGCATATTCTAAGTTGTTATGATACCGTACTTCGCATTATATTAACAGCGGTGCAGGACCGATCTGATCAACCGTTAGTTTCCACCCAGAAACAATCTTCTAATCCAACGGTCCTAATTAAGATAGCGGAGGACCCATCAGCAAAGACGGTTTCATTTTTCTTCGGTAACCGTATCCAACACGGTTTCCCAACCAATCAGAGTGAGCTGTGAGCAATGAAGGATACCTTCTAGGTGGGGCCTGTTTGTTTGGAGCGCAATCATAAACTTCGGCCACGTATGCATTAATTATGAGCGGACGGATGGACCTAAAAGAAACCTTCTTTTTCTAAAACATCCAATTCGTTTTAGAAATTATAGAAATTATTAAATTAATGGATAAATATCATAAATTATATAATATAATTACTATATAAATAGGAAAAACCCAAAGCAAAGCCACCACTATATTATCATCGTCAACAAAACCAAACCAAACCAAACCAGCCTCGCCTCACGGGATTTCGTGGACTTTCTGATCAAGAAGCTCTCTTTTTGCTTTCTGGGTTCGTCTTCAGACTTCACGAGGTTCGATTTCCATCTGCTATTTCGTATTAACTCCCTTTCATTTTTGTACCCTGTTAATATAATCTGTTTATAATAACCCAGTAGTCTTTTGATGTCAGAATTGACTTCTGATTGTCTTTCTGTGTGTGAAAATCAGAGTTTTGGATGGTGAATTTCATGGGGGTTTATTTTGAGTAATATTTTGTGTGTTTTTCGTTTTAATTTCAATATTTTATAATCCATGTGATCAAGGGTGTTAATTAAGAGATAAAGAAGATGTTGTTTACTTTTAACTTGTGTAATTGAACTGAATTGCTTTTGATTTTTACTTTTTGCTTATGTTGTATGCAAATTTCAGGCAGAATGGCCAAGAGTTACTTCAAGCAAGAACATGATCTTGGTATGTAGTATTGTTCATCCCAAAGAGTTGTTTTTATTACCTTGTCGAGTTTATTTAATAAAAGAACGTTAGTCAAAGAATTTTGATGTTTATGGTTTGTATTATTTTCAGAGAAGAGACGGGCAGAGGCTGCTAGGATCAGAGAGAAATACCCGGATAGAATTCCAGTAAGAATTTGAAATCCAAACTCAGTTATCCATTTTCAATTACTGCCCATGATGTGAAATACTTACACATGATTTTTATGCAGTAAATTATTTGAATGGTTCTGTATTATTTGTATCTGGCACTAAATTTGCGTAAATTATTATGCTTGTCTGTTGTAATGAGATTGTATCAGCTAATAGAGAAGTTGATTTCAGATGTGTTAATAGTTTCCACAAGGATGTCAAGGATGCATTCTTTTTTGGAGTTCTACTTCCTATAACTAAGTAAAATGCATCCTGATTTTGGCTTTCTTAGCCATGTTGTATAAAATCTTGATTTTATGATTTGAAGGTGATTGTGGAGAAGGCAGAAAGAAGTGATATCCCAAACATTGATAAGAAAAAGTAAGCTTTACTTTCTCTCTTGATCCCTGATATATAACATTGCTGCTTGTTGATTCCATTTTTCTTGTTTTTCTTAGTTCAATTTCTAGCAAAGTTTACATCTTTCCAATTTAGGACCAAAGTTTAACCGGCCCTCTCTTTTCTCATCTAATTCTTCCAAAGGCTTAAGTTGGATGTTCTTTATTTGTTATGTTTAATATATCGTTATTGGTAAAATGGCGAAAATTTGGTTATGTTTGATTGCCTCTATGATATTTCAACAACATCCTTTAGACTGTTTCTTTAACTATAAACGGAATCTGAAAATGACAGGTACCTTGTCCCAGCCGACCTAACTGTTGGACAATTCGTTTATGTTATCCGCAAAAGGATTAAGTTGAGTGCAGAGAAGGCTATCTTTATATTTGTGGACAATGTACTCCCACCTACAGGTAAATTCTTGTGAAATTGTCTTTTAGGGGATGGTGCCTTCTGCTTGGCCTTTTGATTGAACATGTCCCATCTATAATGTCTTCTGTCTTTTGCAGGTGCAATCATGTCTGCCATATATGAAGAGAAGAAGGATGAAGACGGGTTTCTTTATGTCACTTACAGCGGTGAGAACACTTTTGGTTATCAGGTTCCGCTGTAGCCCTCAATTAGTTGGATACCCGCCATCTTTCTTCCAGTCCCAGCATACCTGATTTTATCGCTATCATCTTCATTACCTTGTTCTGAATCCGATGCTTCTCTTATTATGCCTAGTTCATAAACACCTCTCTGGTGATAATGTGTATAGTCGCATATTGTATATAACTTCTAAGCTCCGGTTTAACATTAAAGTTTCTTGCTTGTTGCTATTCATAATCATTCAATGAAGCTGCCGGTTTATTGCCAGTTTTGGCTGGGTCATGGTTATGTGAAGCTGTGACTTTGACCAAAGTTTAATGCAAACCTTTCTTCTTGTTGCATCTTTTGACATGCCACAATGCATACTCATGTGCCTTATGACATAACGTTTGCTGCCTAGAACAGCAATCTCTGCATATTTTCGGGTGCCTTCACCGGCACTCACTGCCTGTTCATTGCTAGGAAGAATTGTCTAGACGGCCATGAAAAAGAAATAGAAAAAGAGAGGAAAACAGAGCGATTTTCCCCCCATTTCAACGCTTACATTTAAAGCACTATCTCTTTCTGTCTCTCTTTCTCCCTCTCAAAGTTCAACGCCCAAAGACAAAGACACTGATTATTAAAAAAGGGTGCAAAAGTCATAAATGGGAGAGATTGAGCTGTGTATTTGTGGGCTTCGGCCATGGGACGGATTAAATTTCCTTGGGTCTGTCATGGGAGATTGATCAAGCCTTGTCTGTTGTTAATCTGATGAAGCTTTGGTTGGCTAAGAGCTTTTATACTTCTATACGTCTGGCCATGAAAAAGAAATAGAAAAAGAGAGGAAAACAGAGTGATTGTCCCCCATTTCAACGTTTACATTTAAAGCTCTATCTCTCTGTCTCTGTCTCTCTCTACCTCTCAAAGTTCAACGCCCAAAGATAAAGACACTGACTATTAAAAAAGGGTGCAAAAGTCATAAATGGGAGAGATTGAGCTGTGAATTTGTGGGCTTCGGCCATGGGCCGGATTAAATTTCTTTGGGTCTGTCGTGGGAGATTGATCAAACGCAAGCCTTGTACGCAACTTCCGTTGTTAATCTGATGAAGCTTTGGTTGGCTAAGAGCTTTTATACTTCTATACGTCTATACGCTACGCTAAGAGCACTTCCACTTCTATGGGCAAGAGCAAGGCAATGGCTGCCACTATTCACATGAATAGTGGCAGCCCTTGCAGTTTTGTTTCCACTCTTAGAGCACTTTTATCCATTTGCCATGACAAAAGGCAAGGACAAGGCAATGACTGTTACTATTCATGTGAATAGTGGCAGCCCTTGCAAAGGCTTATGGTGTTTCCACCTATTGCCATGACAACCACTATTCACATGAGATATAAGGAGAGGAATTTGTATAGAGTTTTGGTGTGGGAAGTGAAGAATATGACTAAGTATTTATTTTTTTAAAAATCTGAAATTTTTAGTATCTTTTTAGAATTTTTTTTTTTTAAAAAAAATTACATTGTTGACGTCAGCAAACCCAGGTTGTTTTTGCCTTTGGGCTAGCCGGGTTTGCTGAGACCTAGCTGTTGCTTGGGTAGCTTAGGCCCGCTAGAATGCCAACCTTGCGATTTGGGCTCCCTCTTGCCCAGGCAACCACTGAAGTCAGCGGCGGACTTCAGAAATTTTTCAGCGGTAAGTGCAATTCTTAAAAGCTAAAAAAAAAAAAAAAAAAAAAAAAAAAAAAAAAACTAAATCCTTATAGTTTAAACAATACTAATGTTTAAATTCCATGAGCAAGTTATCAACCAAATACAAGTGCCTCTTTGCCTGGACTGGACTATAGTCTGGGAACATGAAAGGATGGATGTCCTCTGTTTTGACGCCGAAGTAGTGGTTGTGGTATAAGTGCTCGAGGCTGATGAGGGAGCAGCAGACGCGGCTTTATATCATGTGGAGGTGCACTATCATATTTCTGTGCTGGGATGAGTGACAGGAAGAAGATGGGTACATACTATACAAGGTTTAATGAATCTGTAGATATATTGGGGAAGTTAATTAACTGTTGAGGCAAGTATGTGTTTGTGATCTGTTGAGTTTTCTGTTCAAATTTGATACAAAAAGTTAACAAGAAAATCTACTCTTGCTGTTGTTGCTGTGGCTGGGATGACTTCTCTTTTCCATTTTACTGTTTTTTCTATTTTTATTTATTTAAAGGAAGCCATGACAACAATTGGAACAAAATCAATGCAATCCTCAAGGTCTTCATTTTGTTGGAGGAGTTTTCGAGTTCAAATCCCATAATAAACAAGGCAAGACCTGTTTTTTTTTTTTTTTCTAGAAAAAATCTCTTCGTTCAAACTAAACATAAAATCATATCCTATCCCTCAAAAAAAAAGGAAGAAAAAAAAACTTTTTGGTAGATTGAAGTCAAAGCCACTTCCCTGAAGTTGTCCGAGATATGACAAATCAACTCGATGAATCACCTCTTATTTCAAAGAAGTGGTTCACTAGAAGCTCCTTGCAGCCTTGTGGAGGACAAATCACAGCAGCGCTTCACTTGGGCATTTCATCGAACAGCTTCCGTGCATGAGCAGAGGTGCAACTTCAGCAACTTCTATGGAGTTTTCCCGCAACCGGAGGTGCATGTGCACCTCCTTGCGCCTGCATAGGTCTGCCAGTGGCTGGAGTTGCTCTTATGGGCTAGGGTAAAGGAAATTTTTATTCACATGAGATATGAGGAGATGAATTTATATAGAGTTTTTGGTGTGGGAAGTAAACAATATGGCTAGGTATTTATTTTTATTTAAAAAAAATCCTCAATTTTGGTTTTTTTTTTCAATTTTTTTGGTTGTCGACATCATTATGACGTTAGTATTGTGTCATTTTGCCCAGGCAGCAGCTCTAGCTGAACTTGCTTGTGGCCTTGCCCAGGTTGCTGGAGCCCACTGTTTGCCCAGGCTGGAACTCTTGCGCTGGAGTTGCCTTTGGTTGCTTGGGCCCCCTCTTGTCAGGGCTCCCCCTCAACGGTGGAAGTGCTCTAAGAGTAGATAACTTGTAGATATTATATGTTTTTCTTTTTCTAGACACAATTTATTAATTGTTCGTTGGACTCGAGCTTCTGCTAGTTAAACTTGGAGATGACTTGCAGGTATGAAATTGTACTTTCCCAAACACACTTTCTTAATTGTTCATTAAACTCTTGAAACAAGCTAAATTTGTTACGAGCCAAGGGAAAAACTTTGAGAGCTCAAGATACTTGTCAAAAGAAAAAGCTCGACTCCTTAAAATTGAGGAGAAACACCTCCTCAAAACAAATGGGATTCTAACACTAGTCAATTTTATTTCCAATTGCTCCAAACCACTACACTAGTATGTCTTTTTACGAGGAGCTCCTCCTTAGTTTTAAAGAGCCAAACTTTATCGTTTTGCTTGTGTAGATCGATTTTTCTTTGAGAAATAACTTTGTCAAATGGGTTGTGCCTCGTTTGTGCTCATAACTAGATAACCAGAAGTGAGCCCAAACTTAAAAATATGATGTGGTGTGATTTGCCTTCGGTAAGAGCTTCCCTTCGGTAGGCTAAAGGTTATCTGCAAGGAGAGAAATGGAATAACAAGGAGTGAGACCTAAGGTATTAGTGTGATACCGGCCGAAGGGCCTCCGATACTAAAGTTAGTTGAAGGAGATATGAGTTAGTTATTGACAAGGCAGTGTCATAAGTGTGAAGTAACTATTACCTTGTGCCCTATGGGCAATGAGCTTTATTTATAGAGGTTTTAAGTGTCTGCTTGGCGTAAACTTTCGATGTGGGACTTGTGGGAATAACCTGGGGGGCTGCCACATGTCCTATAGAGTATACCAATAAGGAACCTAATAGATTCTTGCAAGATACATTATGGGAGGCTAAATCGGCAAGGGGTGACCAGTGCACTTGCCGACTATTGATTGTGAGCCTGCGAGAGTGGGTCAATCAATGTAGAATCGGTAATGGGTGCTGAAGGCACCCACTGCTCATAAGGTCGGGTTGGCCAGCTTTGGCTTTTGGACCCTGTTTGGTGTTAGGTTCTTTCCACGTCTTATGGCATGAGAGGCTAGTCAGATATGGTACAAACATGCACGATATGAGCCAAGCGCAACACACAAAGAACGCTAGAACAAGTAATCGAACGTCACATGAGAAATTGTTAATGAATGATAAGGCTAGTAATTCAACATCACATGAGTAATTGTTAACTGTTGACGGTATGAGCTACAAATTACGTTGTGACAAACATATATAATATTTCAATATATTTTTTTATAACATATGTTATTCTTATTCAATAATATGTGAGAATTATTTGTATAATACATGAATTTTGTGCGTCTTAATGAAAATTTGGTAAAAATTACGTGTATTAAATGTTAGAAATACGTATGTACATGTACAATACGACTATTGTATGTTTGTTTAAAAAAAAACGTGAGACGTGTATAGAACACTAATGTATTATTGAAAAATATGTGTATATATATGTAAAAGCCTATAGCCGCTCATTTATACTATTTATGAAAGACAATTTATAAAAAATAAAAAAAATAGTAATGCCGACCGGCTATACTATTTTTGAAAAACAATTATAAAATCCCATATAGCCGCACGGCTATACTTTGAAGAGCGCAAAGGCACCCACGTGTAAAATAGTATAGCCGGTCGGCTATACGGTTTTTTTAAAATTTAAACAAATGAGAATAGCCGGCCGGCTATAGTATTTTTTAATATAAAACCCCCAAGCCATATTTGCGACGTGTCAACAAAAGTCTATTTTTTTTTAAAAATAAAAAGGAGTATAGCCGTGCGGCTGTACTAAATTATAAAAATAAAAAAAATAAAAAAAAGGAATGCCTCTGGCCATTAGGCGCCACGTGTCAAAAATGAGTATAGCCGACCGGCTAAACTATGTTTTTTAATAAAAAATCATCGTATCGCCGAACGGCTATATTATTTAAATACATTATATTTAGGCTTAATTATGTACATGCCCCCTGTTCTTTCCAACTTATCTCGGATTACCACCTGTGTTTGCAAACGGCTCAAAGTACCCCCCCAACGTTTAAAAAACGGTCTCACGTTACCCTTTCCGTCAGGTTTTTTGAAATTCTGTTACGAACGTTACTGTTCATCCCCCCCCAAAATTCCAAAACAGCAGTCCATCCCCTTTGTTACTGTTCATCGCTTATTTACCCTCCAAAACTCAGAAATTTCTCATAACCAACACAACTAGCAGCAAGAATAGCTCGAGAGGTTGAAAAACCATACCTGGATCGAAGCAAATGGTGCTCGGAATCGCCCGAATGAGCGATGAAGATTTTGGGTAAAAATCGGCCAATTTCTTGCTTTTTTCGGCGATCCAGACGGCGGTTGGTAGCGGATGAGATGTGAGGGTGGTAGAGGACAACGTGCTGGTTCTTTTGATACCCATGTCGTCGCTTGGGGTTGCCAGAGGAGGAGATGGCAGCCCAAAAACTGGTCAGATGAACAGTAACAAAGGGGATGGGTTGCTGTTCTGGAATTTTTGGGGGGATGAACAGTAACGTTCGTAACGGAACTTCAAAAAAACTGACGAAAAGGGTAACGTGAGACGGTTTTTTAAACGTTGGGGGGTACTTTGAGCCTTTTGCAAACACATGTGGTAATCTGAGATAAGTTGGAAAGCACAGGGGACATGTACATAATTAAGCCTTATATTTAAGAGGTAAAGCCACCCGGCTAGACTATTTAATAAAAAAAAATATAAAAGAAAAAGGGACCCTCCAATTTGCATTAGTTTGTACTTTATAGATCTTAATTTGCTAGTTTCAACATATCCAAAGTATATATTAATCTTCAACTATATAATATTTCAATATATTTTTTATAACATATATTATTCTTATTCAATAAGATGTGAGAATTATTTGTATAATATGTGAATTTTGTGTCTTACTGAAAATTTTGTAAAAAATACGTGTATTAAATGTTAGAAGTTCGTATGTACATGTACAACACGACTATTGTATGTTTGCTTTTTAAAAAAACGTGAGACATGTATAAAATACTAATGTATTATTGAAAAATATGTGTATATATATGTAAAAGTCTATAGCCGCACGGCTATACTATTTATGAAAGACAATTTAAAAAAAAAAACGTAAAACCGCACGGCTATACTAATTTTGAAAAAAAAATTAAAAATCTAGTATAGCCGTTCAGCTATACCTTGAGGAGCGCAAAGGAGCCCACACACATGGCTATATTGTTTTTAAAAATGAGTATAGCCCCCGGCTATACTATTTTTAATATAAAAAGTGGACGCCTAAGCGATAGGCGCCACGTGTCAACAGAAGTCTATTTTAAAAAAAATTAAAACACGGAGTATAGCCGTGCGGCTGTACGCTTAAAAAAAAAAAGGAATACCCTCTAGCCATTAGGCTTAAGGTCTCAAAAATAAGTATAGCCTCCCGGCAATACTATGAATGAATTGGGCTCGTTCGTGATCATGGTAGGCTGACGCATAGGTTTTAAAATGGCCGAGGCCCAAATAGGTGTCAAACTGAAAAAACAAAACAATCTATTTGGCCGAGGAGGGGGGGATGTGGCGGGAAAAGCAAGTGTGAGGCACATGGAGTACATGCCACGTAGAGTGCATACTAAAACCGACGCTAGTGGGGAATGGTGGACCTTTCCATGTCCACAAAGGAGCTGCATCTGACGGTTTGGCCATGCTCCTTTGTCCCCTCATCCCATGTCCCTACCTCCCACTACACTCTTGGACACTTATGGGTCCTTTCAATTTCTTCCAAACTTCATTTACAACTTCATACAATCTCTTACGCAAGTCAATTTCACTCATTTAACTTAACTAGTTACAATAACTTGTGTTTAATCTGTGTAATTAACGGGGCATACGTGAATTAGGTTAGTTAGATAACACAATGTACTCATCCTTCTATACTCGAATTTGAATATTTTTTCATGTAATTAAAATTGACTGAAATTAGGCATCTTAAAATCACTAGAATAAAGATATGTCAGTTAAGGTGAAAAGTAGAAAGCCATAATGTAATAATACTTTCTCGCCCAAAAAACATGGAATGGGGGATCCTTTAGAAATACATGGGTTGGAGACCAAATTTGCTCAAATCTTCATCTCGCCAATAAATTCTTATAAATCATCTGGTGATGCTACATGTATCATATTTACTTGTGATGATGAATACTTCATGAATACTTCTCCAATAAGAGTAAAATTCACATATACAAGTGGATCTCACATTTATCATAAATGTGATTTATAATGTGATTAATAAGTGTGGTACACCTACACATATTTACGTTAATTTTGGAGTTAACTCACTTTCCTCCCTCTCTCAATATCTATTCCCATGCATTATGTCTACTGGAGACGTAGCTCATATAGGTTTTCAGCTTCTTAGGGCCCTCCAATTGATTAAAAAGTGAGAGATGAAGGGAAAGGGGGACAAGGGGAGGCCCCAATATCTCAAGTTTGGTTTTACAGGTTCATCACCCAAACACCTGCATGTTCTCTTTAAGAACGGTTATAGTCCCATACACAACCTGCATTTATTGCTCTTCCTTCCCCTCTCACTACAAATACTCTGCAAAACCTAACACTTAACCCACTCACATACACAAGACTTTCAGTTATTTCCATTACATATTCTCATCGTCTGTGTGTGACTTCAAGTCTTCAAATCCTTCAGATCATAATCTCCAATTTCTTTTGTCTCTCTCATAATATGTCTTCCATTGTTCTTCTCTTTTTTCTTTGTCTTTCTATCCATGCATGCAATGCCCGACTTCTAGGCCTCGTTGATAAGCAAAGTGGCAGTAAATCCTACCATTCTGTTGAGGTGGGTGCAAATATTTCAACATCTGATTAAATTCTTGTACATAATATTTTGAGAAGTTCTGCCATGGAGTTTTAATTCCATCATGCGGTGCATACATGCCTTATTTATTGTTATGTAACCAAAAAAATTTGGTCATCATAGTATCTTGTTGAATTGTTAGAACTGCCTGCGATAATCTGGAGTACTTAATTGTTCCCCATCACCGGTTGCAAGCAAACCATGTGTCTCATCACATGACCTTATCACGTGTTGACAAAGATAGACACATACAACATGCGAAACATATGAAAGAAATCGAATAACTTAAGTGATTATTAGTTTTAACTTATTGAAGTGGCCTAATTATTTTAGGGTTGGTGCAGGATGTAAAGAAAGTTTTAAGTGAGACTTCAAAGTCATCGATGATGCCTACCATCTCAGTTGAATACCAAGCACAACAAATAAACGCTGAAACATTCACCCATGAAAGTATCCCGACGGCTCTTTTGAGGAAACAAGGGCATGCCAATGGACCAGCCTCAGGTTCTTATAAATCTTCGAATCAATTAGGTCATTATTTTTTGGTTTTGTATATATATTCATGTTGATGATGAAGATATGTATGGTGGTGTGCAGGATATGATATTATTACATTATCTTCCCAGGTTGAGCAGAAGAAATTGATTAAAATCCAGGTACATAAGTTACTGGGTGCAATTTAGTATTTTTTTTTATAGATTGTTTTGAATGATCTCTGTTACACTGATGGTGCAAGTGGCCATATCTACTGTAACCATGTCCCCTGTGAGGAAATCAGGGCATGTGGTGTGCTCATGCATGAACTGTACATATAGCCTTTTGTGAGATACATGATACATACATATATATAGGGCTGAGAAGAAAAAAGGTGTTTAGAACCTAATTATGTTATGAGTCGTATGCTTATGAGCTAGATTGAATCTGAATCACATATTAATATGCTAAGAGAACCTAATCGATGGATCAGATCGATTCAGTATTCGCGATTGTCATCACTCATGATAAGATAACCTTTACGTATATATGTATCTATATCAATTATATTTTGCATGGAAATTAATGCATATGAATATTGATGCTGTATGTTTTTAGGGATTGAAGAGGCGGGCACGGACATTACTGGGATCTGCAACACATAACATGGAGGAAGACAAAGATTCGAAGGAAGATGAACCTATTGAGGACGTAGGTGTTATGGATTATGCACAACCTCACAGGAAGCCACCCATTCACAATAGAAAGTCCTAGACATATCCGGATTTTCTGCTTCTGATGGAATTTACTTCATTTCTAGCTAGCTAGCCCAAAGAAAAATTATATAGTGATTTGTCCTTGGTTGGTGGGAATGGTATTTGTAATTTACCTGGTCTATAGAAGAAAAAAAATAAAAATAAAAACTCTCTTGCAAAACCTTGGAAAAGAAGAAGAAGAAGAAGAAGAAAAAAAAGAAAGATCCTGTCCTCGTGATTGATAGAGAACAAGTGTTTTCCTTTTCTGCAATAGTGAGAAGTCCAGTAGTGACAAAATGGTGATTTGATGGATGATGGCTCCTCTTTTTTATTGTTTCTAAGTGTGTTTTTATGTTGACGGATTAATAAATGATTGTAATCTAAGTGAAACATGTTACATGGATGTGTCGCATGGCAACCCTCTTTGCTTGTGTTGTCATTGTCATCCATTTGGGTGGTATTTCTAGGTTTCTCCATTTCGAGTGATTGGTCTAGTCAAATAAGCTGCATGTTAAAAAGACCAGGAAGGTGTATCCAAAATAATCACGTTCAATTAGTTGGTTGCTAAGGCTTGCTGCTTTTCTGTCGGGGATGAAATTATGCTAGGTTCAGTCACGCATGTACATATGAGCGTTTTTGAGTTGTTGATGTGCATACGAGGGATTTTAAATTGTTAATACATTGTGAGGTCCATATGCATCAATAGCTGACGCTAACCTTCCTCCTCTAAAAGTATATGGTTACCTACTTTCTAATTAACCACACTTCAGAGAGGGATATGTTTTACAAATTGCTGACCCCATGCCGCCACTTTACAATGAATTCCATATTCCATTTCGGTGACTTGGAAATGGTAGGGAAATAAGTAAAACAAAATAGCCAAATTATACGTTTGCCTATGTTTGGTATTTAAGAAAGCAGTAGCAATTCACAAAATCTTCCAGATAGGGGCTGAGTTTCACAAGCTGGCAAGAAACCAGCACATGCTCTATACACAAACTACAGTGGTTGATTATGGGCCACAATGTTTTGAAATGAATCGATCTTTGGTGCGAGTAAAAGCTACATGATAGTAACTAAATATTTATGTTTGGTAGCACAAATATTCAACCAAAAATAAGCTAATCAATATTCAACATTGGCAGGACCAGCGTTTCAATATGCGCTCTTGTTTGATGAAGTATTCTTTTATAAATTTGGATTCTGGTTTCTTTAGATTAATCAAGTACTGCTGCAGCTGACAATAAAAGGTTTAGCGAAGTTTATAAATTCAGAGTTTCTGATGCCCAGCTTCAGATCGATCTCACCACCACCCAACCAGAAGAAATCAGGACGGAGTTTCTGAATTGCTTCATCCAAGATCACCTGAAAGTGAAACCAACCGATACATCATCACATTAAGAAGAGCAAAATCTGTCTACACACATATATGCAAATTCATCTAATCTTATGCTTACTAAAATTTAGTGTGAAAGTGCTAGGTTGTGGTCGTCACAGACAATAACTACAATGTCATTTCATAATGTTTTGTGATTTCTAGTTTATGATACATCATATGACCCATGATAGGAAAATGAATATCCACTGTTCAAGCATTTTCTAAGTATTTCAGACATTATAATACACTCCCTACACTAATGCATGTGCAAACACACGCAAAAGAGTGTTTGCTGTCTAACAAACCTAGCTATATAATCTACCTCTCAAAATAAATCCCTTCTTTTGGAAGATGTGGCAGACTGGCAGACACTCGTTAATCAAAGACAACCAATACAATGGACCACCATTTGACAACCCAAAACTTGACACTCTCGGACTAATAGACAGTTGATATCTGAAAAGTGGACCAGCTTAACAGCTGTTATGAAGGTTGGCACAACTAAACTTATAAACAGGGTTCCTGGCAATTGAACCTCGGGTCCTGTGCTGGAGCTTATCATGAAAGGGCACTGAAGTAGTTTGTCTCAAGAACACAGGACAGCACAGGTGTAGCTTATAGTTGTAGGGAGGTAATGTTTACAGTTGTTGTATAAGCTTATGAAACCTTGAGAGCATGTTACGGAAAGTTTAAAAGAAATGGACCACAATTTAGATACAGTTTCCATCCTAGTTTCATCTAATCAATCACATCGGACTTCTGAGCAATCAGTTAATTGGTTTTACAATTTTCAAGGGGCAGATGCAAAGGCAAAGGATCTTGAGTGACATGTCAAGCAAAAATAATTCTGGTACCACGAGACCACAAAAAACAATTCCAACTCCAAAGGGCATCAAATACATAGTAAATAAATGAAAGAAACAAGTGTTCACCGGAATGTCTGTTTTCATGCCAACACATGTAACTCCGTTGTGCTCAAATCCAGTCAATTCTACTGAAGTTTCCTCAGGTGCAAGCCTCACTGCATAATCAAATAACAAACATTATCACCTTCTGAAATACAATAAGAAAAATTTAACGTAAACCTTGAAGATATAAACATATTAAAAAAACTAACAATGGAGAACAGAAAGAAAATCCAACAATGCAGCATATTTTGGAACACCTTTTTTTTTCCTTGCAGAGAACTTTTGAACACTTCCACAGTATATACTCAGAAATACAAAACGACGGTTTATGATTAAACAACAGGAGTAATACAAAAGAAACATAGACTGGAATTGGACTGTCCTCTTTTTTTATTTCTTCCCCAACTGTCCAACGAGCAGGAAAGGGTTAAAAATGAATATGTTATACAATAACATTGGAACATGTCTCTATGGATTTAAAGGAGAAGGCTCACACAAAAATGATTAGTATTTTTATTTGCACACATACAAAATCCTGGAAGGCGTTTTCTTGGAGTTCCCAAGAAGAACCATGTGAAAAGAGTGGGAGCAACTTCCCCTGAGAGTGAAGGAAGAAATGGGTGGAATCTGAGAAGATAGGAATAAAGCCGTCTCAAAAACAGTTCGCCCAGGAAAGCTGGCATTGAAGGAACTTTTGTAATACTTCTACAGTGGATGTGAAAAAGAGGGATGACCAAAGGGATAAAACAGGATTAATACTGAAGAACCATAGCATGGACGTGGAGCAAATTTTTTATTGTTTTAAATCAACTGTCCACTAAAGCAAAAATGCGTTAAGAAAAAATGTTACTTGATAACATTGGAACACATCTCCATGGGTTTAAGGAGAAGGTTCAAGCAGAAAGGCTAGTTTGATCTACGCACGGATAAAAGCCTGGAAACCATTTTGTTGGAAGATTAGGTTCCCAAGAAGATCTATGTGCAAAGATTTGGACCAACTTTCTTTGAGAGAGTGAGAAAAAAATAGGAGGAATCTAAGAGGATCACGAATAAAGCCATCAAAAAAACAGTTGGACTAGAAAAGCCAACATTGCAGGCATTTTCTGAATAATTATACAGTGGATATAAAAATGATTACAGAATAAACAGAAGGAATAGAAAAGAAACATAAAATGGAGTTTGAATAACATTTTTTTCCGTCAACTTTTGATTGAGGCAAAAATTGTTACGAAAAAATGTTATCCAGTAGCATTGGAATGCATCTCCTATGAACTTGAGGAGAAGGCTCAAGCAGAAAGGATATTTATTTGATTTACGCACAGATAAAATCCTGGAAACCATTTTGTTGGATAACATGTTACCAAGAAGAACTATGTGCGAAGAGTTGGACCAACGTTTTTTGAGAACTGAAGAAAGAAATAGGAGGAATCTGAGGTGGTCATGCATAAAGCCATCTGAAGAATAGTACAACAAGAAAAGCCAAACATTGCAGCAAATTTTAAGACACTTCTTACAGTAGATCTCAAAAGAAGGGATGATAACAGCATTAAAATGGAGTAATACAAAAGAAACATAGAACGGAGTTGGACCATTCTCATGTTATCAAACAATGAGGTGCATAATTTAGTAACATCAGCATCTAAACACACCACAATCACCTACCCCAAAATCACATTGCTATTTGTTCTTTTTATGAGACATTAAAAACCCATCTTTGCGCCAATTTTTGTAGTCCGAATAATGCATTCACCAGAAAAGATATAAATCTAATATCACCCGAGTCTGAACACAAAACCTACTACTAAGTACTAATAAGTACTAACTCACATTGCTAGTTTGCCACCTACTTGACAGTATTGGCATTATCCATTCTTTGTTTTTTTTTAACATTGGACTTAAATGCATTTACGGCTATCCAAAATTTCTGAACAATGAAAAATAAAATTAACTTCAACATGCAAACAGCATAGATCCCATTTTGGCATACAAAAATTGCAAAACTTCAGAACATCTTAAGAAGTCTTTGATTGTTAATAGAACAAGAGAACTAACAGTTGAACTTTTTCTTGGCTATCTTCCCCTCGTTGAGCGAATACAAGAAGTTCTTTACAGCTTCAGCATTAAACCGAGCAGTATACTGCACCCAAAACAAAAGGGTCCAAATTTCATGCAACTCATACACCAGCATTATAAATGCCTTAACTTTAAACACAACCGTGAAAAAAAAATTAAAAAATAGGTTACCTGAACGACCACAACATAATACTTTGAATTGTTGCGGTCACTACAATCAACCACACTAGATTGGGCTTGAGTGTTAACCTGGGAAATGCAATACAAGGTCCAAATAAATAATTCAAAAAAGAAAAAGCAGAATGCAAGTGGAATTGAAAAGGGATTTTAGATAAGAGATTTGAGTTGAATGAGTTGGGTACCAAGACAATGCTTTTGCAGAGATGGTGGACGGAGGCAGCGCCGAGAACGTCGCGCCGGTCATCGAGAGACCAATCATAGTAATCGGCAGGTACCCTCTTGAAGGCGAAGTCTTTCACGCCATTGGCGCGGAGAATGGCGGAGAGACGAGCTTCTGTGGCGCCGATGGCGTCGTTTTGAGTCGAGGTAGGGATGGGGGTAGATTTGTGTTGGGGAAGAGAGGCAGAGGAGGCGAGCTCGAGCTTTGATACGCGTTCTAGGATTTGGGTTTGGATTCGCTCCAGCTCTGCTAGTGATTTTTCCATTCTCTCTCTCTCTCTCTCTCTCTCTCTCTCCTGAGTCCAATTTTCGAGCTTTGGTTAGCCATACGAACGACGCGTTTCTGCTTGTCGTTTACGATTGTAAACGACAACCGGTCGATTAAATAAGGGTAAATTGCGGAAAACCCCCATGAATTATAATGCTTGTCGAAATGTCCACCCTGAATTATTTTTTCAGCCAATTTAACAATCAGACTATTTTAAATGGCCAATTTAGCCCATGCCGTTAGTTTCCATGTAGTTTCATCCAATTTTCCGTTAAAAATAATTAAATCTTTAAAAATTAAAGAAGCAAAAAAACAAAAAAAAACCCCTAGCAATCAACGTCTTCCCCACCCCATCCCCCAAACCCTCTCTCTGCAATCCCACTTCTGTAAGGTTTTTTTAGTGAAAGAGCTGCAGATGTTTTTCCAGTGAAAGAGCAACAGTGGAGGTGGAGAAGAAGACCCGCCTCTACAACACTGCAGATTGATGATCTACAACCACATGGCATATCGGGTATTTTCCAGTGAAAGAGCAACATCGGGTATTTTAGGGGGCAGACCCCATGGCAGATTGATGAGCTACAACCCAACAACCAAAGAGACCAAAGTTCTGGTCCACAACGTGTACTTTGCCAACGGAGTAGCAGTCTCTCCAGAGACGGGGAGAGAAGAAAGAAAAGAGAGGGAAGAAGAACAAGGAAAAGGAAAAAGAATATAATAAAAAAAAGAGCGAAGAAATTATGATTTTACATTTTCTTTATTATTTTTTGGTATTGTCCTTGTAAAATGACAAACTTACCCTTATAATTAACATAAAATTGAATGGAAGTCTAAAAACTTGACGGCAAGGACTAAAGTGGCCATTTAAAATAATTTGAAGGCTAAATTGGCTGAAAAAATAATACAAATTTATAAATAAACCCAATCCTAGACATGTATTTATAAAAAAACCCAAGCACTATTTAAACATAGAAACACACCCAAAATCAACCCCAAAGTCAACTTTTTGGGTGTGTTTATAAATGGGTTTTGAGTGTGTGTAATGATGGGTTTTGGGTGTGTTTATAAAGTGTTTTGGGTGTTGGGTTTTTTTATAATTTCAACCTCCATTTTGGGTGTTTTAGTGAAACTCCCAAAAAATAATCCGGGGGTGGACATTTCGATAGTCGATATAGTTTAGGGAGGTATTCGGCCGTTTACCCATTAAATAATGTACATGACTGTCTTTTTCCTGCTTTACTCATCTTTAGTCTCCATCCGTTCTCTTAATTGGCTAAAAAATTGCGTGGTGTGGCAGTAGGAATGTTTGCCATTGGCAGGGACTCTTTGTATTTTAGAATAGAAAAAGAGGACCTATTGCCTTTTTTATCCTTTTTTTTAAAATTTTTTATTTATTTATTTAGTGTCACATGCATTTAATTTACACACAAATCTTATATATGTAATGTAAAATATTAATATTTTAATTAAAAAAATAATTAAATGGTTTTTGAACACATTAAATATATAAATTTATATGTCCGTGAAATATACGTGGCACAAAATGAATGGGAAATGCAAAAAGGGAAAAACAACACATAAGGTAGCTAGCACTCTTCTGAGTTTGAAAAGCTAGCTACCTTCCCATTTTAGGACTTGTTTGGTTCAAGGTTTAGAAGTTTGGGAATGAGTTTAAAATTGCATTCCCATGTTTGATAAGTGTACTTTTGGAAATGCAATTATGGACTTATGTGTATGAACTTCCCATGTAGGGAGGAATTTTATATCCTTGGCTGAGTTTGGGAAGTTTTTCCCCCAACTTGGGACAGTTAATGCAAATTTTTATGACTAACTTACCCCTAATCAATTTTTAAAATACAATGTTTTAACTAGAGGGGCAATTTCGGGCATGACTGGTCAACCCAACACGACTCGAAACCTGCATGAGAACTTAACGGGTCAACCCATGCATGACACGTTTATTAAACGGGTTGGGTTTGGGTTGAGCATTCCTGACACGTATATAATCTTGACACGACGCGAACCCAACACGAGACACGACCCATTGCTAGCCCTAGTTTTAACCTTAGAAAAACTCTTTGTATTTCTTTCTTAAAAAAGTTAGAAAACTCAACAAATTTTCATTCCCAAATTTGCACAAACTAAACATGGGAATAGTATAAAATGACATTTCATGATCATCATTTCCCAACGTGTCTAACATGAGAATGAACATCCTCCATTCCCATCTCATGGGATTATACATGGGAAGTTCATTTCCAAGAAGTTCAATCCATGAACCAAACGAGCCCTTACATTCTCAATCTTTTATATTACCCATTCATTTTGTGTCATGTATTTCACTTACACGTAAATATATATAATGTATTTAAAAACTCTTTATTCTCTTTACAACAAAATATTAGAATTTTGCATTAAATACATGGATATATGTGAGTAAAATTTACTTGACACAAATTTAATGGGAAAGACCAAAAAAGAAAATTCAAAAGGAATGCAGCTAACATTAGAGGTGTCAAATGGGAAGGGTCGACCCAGCACGACACTAGCTTAGCCAATTTAAATGGGGTACGACATGGCACCTCACGAGTATGAATATTAGTGGGCCTTGCTCAGCATGGCATGAAAGATTGAACTGGGCCGGATTAAAAAATTGGGTCCAATGGACCAGGCCAGGCTTGGTCCGAGCCCGCTTCAAGCACGGCACGAGCCCGAGCCCATTTCAAGTATGACTCAAGACCGGCCCACTTTATAACCAACCTCCTATGCCGAATAGCTATGGCATGAATGGTGAAGTTTTCCTTCTCTTTCCTCGCAAGAATGCATTATTTAGCAACTGGTGTGAAATATCTGAGTAGCCATCAATTCTTTAATCTGTTTATTTTTCATAGATTGGAACATTGGTACAGCGACTTCTACTTCGTTTCTGGGCGAAAATTATGTTACAACTTCCAAGCACATTGTTTAAAGTATTAAATTCCAAAACTCTGATATGATAGCAGATGAAATTCTAGTATCTACTGTGTTTCCTCGCATGAAGACAACATTCAGGCAAGACTTGTAGCATTCATGCACAGCACCATAAAACAGATAAATCTAGAAAGCTCATTGTAACTTAGCAATTTTATCGAAATTGTTAATACAACCAAATTCATGTTGTCAGTAAGCAGGCTACACCAACACCAGTAAACTAATATTATAAATGACACAAAATTAATCAATCCGGAAAAACAAAGTCAATTGCCATTTCTATTGCATACGTATGAGATTTGACATGTTCCACATTTTTATACCTTCTTATTCAACATCTGCAGTGGGCAGTCTGGTTTTGTTCATGTTATGACCAATAATTTAGTCTTGAAAGTTTGGTTTTGACAACTAACCAGTTTAGATGACATGACAGACATTGTTAGTAGTCTCATTTTCATCCCAGACAAGTCTCTTCCTACAATCCGATAGGCTAATTTTCTTTGATTTTCTATAGCAATGACCTTTTCAATCGAAAACTGTCGTGTAAATAACACCCAATTAATGTAAGTTGGACTGGATGATGGCTAGCTACAGGGGAGACAGTATTTTGGAAATCTGGGAGCTTCCATTTTTTATGTTTATTTTTTTTTCCGGTCTCTTCCATCCACCAAATAATCAAATGCTCATCCAAATATTTAGCATTACAGTGATTCAGCAGTGGCTCACTTTTAGCAGCTGTGAAGATCATGTTGCGTACATATTTACATAATAGAGAATCTTAATTATTATATTTCAGGTAAACCCACATCTTAGAGCCACGGCCCGATAAATTAAATGCGCTGACATGACACGGCACGAATACCTTAAAGGCACGAATTTAAATTAGCCTGACCTGTTTGACACCTCTAGCTAACATTCTTCTGAAATCAAAATGATCAAGAGTTTTGTGTAGCGGTTCCAATCCAAGACAGTTTCCCACAGCTTCTTTGTTTGTCTATTTTGCCCACGGTTTTGATTGGTCAAAAAGTGTAAAAGTGAAGTCTTCATCAGTCCTTCCAGAACGTTGACCCAAAACTTCCTCCCCACCAAACGTCTCATCGTCATTCCTCTCCAGCTTTTTCTCATTTTCAGACAACATAAAATAAAACCCCACAAATCCCTCCACCCTCTGCAACAAACAAACCGTCATAAACCCACAACTCACTGAACTCAATTCATCACCATGCACAAAAGCACTTCTGGCTCACTAGGCCCCAGCGGCCTCGACCTAACCCAGGCCTTCTTCAAGCCCATCTCCGGCGCCGCCTCACCCTCCTCCACCAAGCGCCATACCAAGATCTCCGTCATCGGCGCCGGCAACGTGGGCATGGCCATCGCCCAGACCATCCTCACCCAGGACCTCGCCGACGAGCTCGTCCTCGTCGACGCCAAACCCGAGAAGCTCCGCGGCGAGATGCTCGACCTCCAGCACGCCGCAGCCTTCCTCCCCCGCACCAAGATCATAGCCGACGTCGACTACGCCGTCACCCACGGATCCGACCTCTGCATCGTCACCGCTGGGGCCCGCCAGATCCCCGGCGAGTCCAGGCTCAACCTGCTCCACCGGAACGTCGCCCTCTTCCGCAATGTCATCCCGCCGCTCGCCAAGTACTCGCCCGACACGATCCTGCTGATCGTGTCGAACCCGGTCGACATCTTGACATACGTGGCCTGGAAGCTGTCCGGGTTCCCCAGCAATCGGGTTGTCGGGTCGGGTACCAATCTGGACTCTTCGCGGTTTCGATTCCTCATTGCTGATCATCTTGATGTCAACGCTCAGGATGTGCAGGTGGGTTTTGATATGAAATTTCTCACATGTTTTTTTGGGTTTATGAGTATCAATATTGGATAAAACATGGTTCTGTTTTTTCGTTTAGTATATATTACTAAAGAACGTAGAATCACTCCCAATCAAGCCCTTAATTAGACGAGAGAACGTAGCAAACAAAAGAAAAGACATAAAGTTAAACAACAATCGCCTAACAAATAGGAAAAGAGCGAAATAGTATCCAATAAATAACTCATGATAACAAATTATATTTTCTCGCCTATTTACTACAGCGACGGAGAATCAAATTATCACTATATTTATTCATTTTTCTACTTGATATAATTTCCCTTGATGTTGATACTTTAGCGGTATTCTGTATTCTCACACCCTCATATTTTGGTAACACTGACAATGGAGACAAACAAATTTTTTTTTGTTTTTGAATTTTGTGTGTAGATATTAGTCCAAATTTTCATGTAATTTCTTGGGTAGTTGATATTTTAATTGAAATTTCTGTATTTTAAAACCCTCCATACTGAAAGTAGATAAAACCCCGGATTTTAATGTAATCTCTGGGCTATGATCATATCTTGTTTGATATTTCTATATTAAAGTAATTTCTGTATTTTTCTTATGGGATTGTAGGCTTACATTGTTGGGGAGCATGGTGACAGCTCAGTGGCATTGTGGTCGAGCATTAGCGTAGGGGGAGTGCCGGTGTTGAGTTTCTTAGATAAGCAAGAAATAGCATACGAGAAAGAGACGCTAGAGAGCATCCACAAGGTGGTTATAGACAGTGCATATGAGGTGATCAGTCTAAAAGGATATACTTCTTGGGCAATTGGATACTCCGTGGCCGCGCTAGCTTGGAGCATATTGAGAGATCAGAGGAAGATCCACCCAGTCTCGGTGCTTGCCAAGGGGTTTTACGGGGTGGACGGTGGAGATGTGTTCTTGAGCTTGCCGGCCCAGCTCGGGAGAGGTGGGGTTTTGGGGGTGACCAATGTGCATTTGACTGATGAGGAGACTCAGAGGCTGAGGGACTCGGCTAACACCATCTTGGAGCAGCTGAGTCAGTTGGGATTATGAATTCGATCACCAAGAACATGGTGGGATTGATATTTCATCAATCTTAGTTCCCACTTCTCTGCTTCAGTTTGTTCTTTTCGAAGGCAACAATTGTCCAGTTTTTGGCATCAACTAACAGATGGTATCTTCACGTTGTAATGCGGTTTTGGCTTCTTACTGTGGCCTTCTGTTTTGTTTCTCGTGTAATAAATATTAAATCAAGCAGTTGGATTATATGTCTTTTAAGACTAGTTTTATATATGAATTGAAACTACCTTTGAACAGAACTAAGATTATATGTCTTGTTTCGACCAAAAAAAAAGAAAAGATTATGTCTTGCAGGTGAAATATTTTTGCTCATCACTTTGACTCAAGGTGTATTATCACCATTCTTCTCAACACTTGACACGTGTTCATGAGTTTAACTATAATTAGCTCTTTGCTTTGTATTTATAGAACTATAGTTATGCTCATGAACATGTGTCAAGTGTTGAGAAATGTGGTGATGGTACATCTTGGGTTAGAGTGGTGAGTAAAAATAAGCTGGCCAATAATTTAGGAAATGTAAAATATCAAATCAAATTTAAAGTATACGGAAAAACTAGTTCGATTGAGCATCTCCAAAGAAAGAGGCAAATGAAATAGGCAAAATTGTACTATAACAACCTAGGTGGCATGTTGCCTACCCATTTGCCTCATGAAAAAGATTGATCACTCCAAGCAGTGGCGGACCTATTAAGGCGCAAGGAGGTGTAGCTGCATCTCCCCTCGCCGGAAAAACCATTACAAGTGCTTCAAATTGCTCATTTGCTCAGCTAGTGGTGGTGTACAGTGCACATATCACCTTATTTCTATTTTTAGCATTTAAGTAAATGTCTTTATCATTTTACTTTCATTTATTTTTATATGGCTTAAATGCTAAAATGGTCCATGTGTTTTAGCCCGTTAGCCAATTTAGTCCATGTGTTTTCAATTTGGCTAATTTGGTCCCTGTGTTTCGCACCATTAGCTAATATAATACAATCCGTTAAATTTCTGTTAAAATATTAATAAAAAATATAAATATTTGAATTCAAGCTATAAAATAAATAATTATGAAATAAAAATAAGATTTAAAAGCTAAAAGCAATTAAAAACCAAAGGACAACACCATTTCATCTCAATTGCAACACCTTTTCTCCCCAGCAACAACTCACCCACACACAAAAACCCCAACTCCCCAAGCCACAACCACCCACCTCTCTCTCTCTCTCTCTCTCTCTCTCTCTCTCTCTCTCTCTCAAGAACAATCCCTAACTCCTGACCATCTCCCAGTAGGATCTTCACCATGCAGTCATCGCCCCACTTCCCCCAACCACATCGCTGAGCAGCCCCACGCCCATCCTCTTTTTTTTCTATGCTATGTTTTAATTCTAATGAAGTTTTAATATGTTTTTAAATTAATTTCAACAAAATTTATAGGTTTTCAAAGGAAGAAGAAGAAGAAAAAAAGAATTATCATGTTTATTTAACGACAATTTTAACATAATGGGCCATATTGGCTAACAGTGCTAAACACAGGGATCAAATTGGCCAAATTAAAAACAGATGGACTAAATTGGCCAACAAGATAAAACACAAGGACTATTTTAGCATTTAAGCCTTTTAATATCACTTCATTTACTTAAGTTTACAGTGTAAATAAAAAGTACTTGTTAGCATATCTAAGAATTGTTAGCCTCATTAATGTAGGTTGGCTGCCTTAATGAGGTTGGCTTGACTTTGTTGGCTACCTTAATGAGGTTGACTGCACTAATGAGGTTAGCTTGACTATGGCGGGCTGCTGCCATTAATAATGAGGAAACCTACTTGTAATTAATATTGAGCTTGGTTAGCAAGCTTACTACTTGTATAAATTCCTGCTGTAAGTTACAAAGTAAATTAAGAAGTAGTTGAATCAGAAAATGTTGTGTTCATCTCATTCTCTCTACACTCGCCACTCTCTCTACTTGATATTCTCTATATTTTCCTAAGTTTGACAGTACTCCCTATTTGGATTCAAATAAAAATACTAGAAAATCAATTTCCCACCAAATTAAAATATGAGAAATCGGTTTTAGTGCAAAATATGATTTAGGCTAAAAATGCTGGCACATTAAGTCAATATATACTTCATAATAAAATTCAATAAAATCAAGTTTTCTTATTTCATGTGTAAGGAATAAAAGCCGCAAAAAATTATCTTGAGAAAATGATTATTTCGAAAAATCATTTTTCATACTTAGTCAATATTTTTACATAAAACAATTTTTCATATATGATATGAATGCATGAAGGGACCTAAAGTCAATCTAAGTAAAAATCCTTAGATGTTTAATCCATAAAGAGTTTTTAGCCTTTCAAAATTGCACATCCGCTATAATATTTTTGGGTCCGCCAGTGACTCCAAGGGACTAGGTAATGCAAGTCTACAAAATATTATTATATTATTTATTTTTATCTTTACATATACTATTATATTTTTATAGAAAGTATGTGAGAGAGTGAAGATGATATCTTATTATAAAAATCAAATAGGGCCCATTATACCTTTTCACTTTGAAGCATACAATATTGCTTTGTTGGAGAGAGTAGGTATATTTTGTGTACCTATTTGCCTTATGAAAATGCTGATATGACAAGGCAAACGAGTTTTGCCTACTCTTTGACCTCTTTCCTTAGAGATGCTCACCAAAACTTTATCCTTGACATGTATTCGAGTTTCTGGTGAGACATTTCTGGCATTTGGCACAGAGAAATGGCTTATAATCCAAAAATGAAGTTTGATATCCTCTGCCTCTGTTCTGATTAATGGATTTCTCTTTGGCCATGGATCAGGTTGATCACTTGAATGGTTTTTTTGGTTGGTTGGTTTGTTTTTTTTTCTGAAAACTTGAGCCGGTCCAGCCAAAAAATAAAAAAAATAAAAAAAGAGAGAAGGTGGGCTGGTTGTTTCCTTGTTCTAAATGGGCTAACCAAAGCGAGGCTTTTAATTCTAGTTAACATAAACCACTCAACTTAAAAACTTTAGCCCGTATTAAACTCTCGTGAACCAATCACAATCTCTACGTAAGTTCATTAAGAACTAATCGATGGGCCATATAATTTGGCACAATTATTTTAACGGCCCGAAAAGAAAACAATTTTCGTTTTGAATACAAATGACAGTTTAAATTATAAAGGGTAAATGGTTTCTCATACATACTACCAATGTGTCATGGAGGTTCGAACTTGAGACCACTAATATGAAAGTCAAGACCATTTTTCATTGAACTTGACCCTTTGGCAAAGAAGACAATTTTATGAAGAGATTAGACGAAAGTACATTGGTCTTCAAGCATGGCATCTTCGTCTTTGCCAAAGACAAAATTGAAATGACATATCTAGCTAGCTAGCTAGCAAGCTCTATCATGAGAAAACGTATTGGCTTATTTCATTGTGAGAGGTTGTCTATGTGACAAAGATAAAAATCAGAAACTGAGGATCATTGAACTTGGCTTACTTTTTACTGAATGCCGTACTTAATTAGAGTTATCCCACTCGGGGTGAGCTCTTAGTGATTAGTCCCTATTAGTAAGCCTAAGCCCTGCTGAAGCTTTCAATTCGAGGGGTTCAAATAAAAAGTTTTTACTTTCGTTCAAGTCTTGCCCTTGGACAAATTCCATCGTTGAAAGGGGGCCAACTCATCCGCTTGTCAATTAATTCTTGGTGTAATTCTCACTCGAAAATGATTGGTGTCAGAATTTTTCGTCAGTGAAGATTAGAAATGGACACCTGAGGTTGCTTCCCCATTTGAGGTGTCCGGTCATTTACAGGATGTTTACATCTCTACATTTTGTGCTTATTTAGAAGTGTTTTTATAAGTAAAAACAACTTTTATATAATCAAAAGCAATTTTTTTTTAAAGAAAAAGTTAAAAGTGCCTTTCAATTCTAAAAATATTTCTTATTGCTTTTGAAGACGTGTTTCTAGGTGTTTAATTTTGTACACTGTGCTTCTACAAAAGTAGTCCAAAACGGACCCTTAATTACTTTAAAAAGATGTGTCATCACCATCTTATCTTTGGCCAAAAATTGATCCAATTAGGAAACACACAAAACAAGAAAATCAATGATCACCCAAATCAACTGCAACCTTTAAATGTTATGTTCATGATGGAATTGGAGTATCCAATATAAAATCATTTGACACTAGGTGGAGAGCCTTAATTGAGATCTATAATCTTACATATTCATGTGGTGTAAGGCTTTACTTTCTCAGGTATAAGATAATACTCTCAACATTTCAACTCCGAAATTCTTAAATTCATTTTGAATTAATGTTTATATTCATTTAGGTTACATTGGAAGAAGTTTGGAACCTATATGGTTTATACTCAACATTCCCAAACGTATTGTACAAGTTTGGAACCTATATGGTTTATATATATATATATATATATATGCATAAAACATGCACAATATTTATATATACTTGCATGTTCCAAACTTCCACCGTCAGTTTTGTTAATTTGTGTTGCACTGTTTCGTCCATGAATCACAGTTTCAGTGCTTTTAGGCCTTTTCCAAAACTGTGAATACGCATGTGACGCGTATGCAGGAATCTCTCTCTCTCTCTCTCTCTCTCTCTCTCTACAGTGGATGTTATTATTCAGAAGTGATTAAAAATTAACGAGGGAGCTTAATTATTATAAAGTTGGTTTTAGCTGTATTATTAGACATTTCGTATTCTATAGATTATTTGATTAACAAATTGGTGTTTTCAGAACATGGCATGTATAAAATTTCAGTGATCCTGATCATTTCAGTGATCTAATCACAGAGGTCACGGACGGGGATAATCCGACTAGAAAGAGTCAAATTGGACAACTGAACAATTCTATATATCATATAAGACGTACGTACAGATGCCACCATACTTGATATAGTTTGATAATTACCAATCAGTGCTTCCTCTTTGTCATGTATTCGTCAAAGATATATAACAACCACCACCACTACTATTACTATATGAGGAGGTTATCTGTTCTGTAGGATCAAATGAATCCAACGGGGTCTTTTCTCTGAATAATATTTGTGCATTATAATGGTCGTGTGGTACAACGAATCTACATGTTATGACATGAGTGAACGATATGATATAATCCTAGCTCATTTTACTATCCTCTCACTGGCATCGGCAAGTTGAGCACAAGTTCTGTAATGACATGACATATTTGAATGTAGTCGCTCAAAAATTGTTCTTGGATAACTATACAAACCTGCAATGTATTCTAACATTCCGAAATTGTGTGAATATAGAGCAATATGACGCCCTAAATAAAAATCCAGTTCATTTTCAAGCTAAAACACAAGAAGAGTAGCAGAGGATGACATGTCGTACGTTTGATTTGGACGTCTCCAGCATTATCAACATGCAAAACATGTAAATAACAATCAGCATGTATTATATATATGAATGAAATGGCCGCAATGCATGACCAATTACTTCAAGTAAATATCATTTTACTCTGTTTTTTTTTAATTACTATAATTAAGATCAAAACACTGCTATTGTTGAATATTATTAGAACATTGTTTCGTAGGGGACAATAATTAAGCAGACCTGGCTTTTATAACTAAACACACACAAAAATCCAAACTCCATAATCCCGAAAGCTTATCCCACCATGTTGCTTTGCCAGGTTGTATACCCTGGGCATAATTTCCAACCCAATGTGCCCATGTGGGTCATTCTAATTATTTTAATCCCCACCCTACATCACTCTCCATCTATAAAAGCCCTAGCTAGCTACCAATCTCAAACACATCACATCTCTCAACTTATAAATCCTCCAAAAGCTAAGAGCCAATCAATTTCCCAAATGGCTTCCAAGGCTCTAGCTTCCACTGCTCTCCTCCTCTCCCTCAACCTCCTCTTCTTCACTTTGGTCACCTCCACCAATGTTGCTTGCCCACCACTTCAGAAAAAGGGTCACAAACACCAGCCCAAGCATGCAAGTCCTGCACTACCCAACCCTAACCCCTCTAAGCCTGCCACGTGCCCCAAAGACACATTGAAATTGGGGGCATGTGCTGACCTGTTGAATGGTTTGGTGCACCTTGTTGTTGGTCCACCAAAGTTCCCTTGCTGCAGCCTCATTGAGGGCCTTGTTGATCTTGATGCCGCTGTGTGCCTTTGCACTGCAATCAAAGCTAATGTCTTGGGGATCCACTTAAACATCCCCGTTTCACTCAGCCTGCTCTTGAACTACTGCGGGAAGCAGGTCCCAAGTGGCTACGAGTGTGCTTAAATTTGTAGTATTTATCCGTACTGCTCTCAATTTTTAGCACTTGGGTTATAATTAATTTCCTTTTGTTTCTCATTTTCATCATGGTGTGCCTAAGAGCTTTGTTGGGATGTTTATTGGTATATTCCATTATACATTCTTATTATTAATAATTCTTTCTATATTGTTTTGATGGATTGGATGGATGGTAGGTTACTTGCCTTCTTCCACATCCTCTATAGCAATTGTATTTTAGTGAAAATATTATTGATTGAGCTGAAATAATGAATTTTGATGTTTCAGAAAGTAATTGAATTTGAGTTCCTTGCAATGTTCGTTCTACTACTACAATTTTATTTTCTGGGTATATGCACTAATTAGTACTTCTGTCTCCTATGCATTGTGAGGAACATGAAATCTCTTATTCAAAATAATAGTTGGAAGTGACAAAATTGATCGTGATATTTCTAAGAATTGTTAAGTTGTTAAAGAGCATCCATATGTCGAAAGATGGAACCTTAACGTAAGAGCTTAAAACATCTTTGGCCTGCCAATGGGATCTAGCTCAATGGAAAAAGATATTGACTTGCAGACCAGTAGTCTCAGGTTCTAACTTCCACGACACTTTGTTAGTGTATGTGTCAGAAACCCTTTACACATTGTAGTTTAGACTATTCAAAAAGATCTTGGACCTCTCTAGCCATTGCAAATTGATTTTGAGAGATTTTTTTATTTATCAAGACATGTTAACTAATCAACACATGCTTTTCGTTGACCCTATTCTTCCTGGTCGTACATATGAAGAATTATAGCATCATTGATTCATCGCACATTTCACTTGTGTAAGTGGCTAGATATAAGCATAACTTTGAAGTTAATTATTATATTGATATTAACAAGCTTTAATGATCCATGTTGAGCTTGTGTGGCACTACTTCTGGAGAAGTGCATTCAAGAATCACTTTCAAATCTTTTTTTTTTTATATAATAATTTAATTTTTAATAAAATTTTTGACGGTCTTCTAATAATAGAAGCACTTTAGGAAAAAGTGTTTATGGCCAAATTTTCCTATAAAAGAAGTCACAAATGGGTTACGGCACTAGTAAAAAATCACCCTTGCGCGACCACATTTTACGCGACGAATTTTTTGTCGCTCAAAGTCACTTTGCGCGACGAAACACAAAACTTCGTCGCTACAAACCTTGCGCGACAAATGTTTGCGCGACGACAATACATCGTCGCTCAAAGTCTTGAGCGACCAAATTTTGCACGACGAAAGACAATTCGTCGCGCAAAGTCACTTTGCGCGACAAAACAATAAACTTCATCGCGCAAAGTCCTTATAAAAATAAATAAAATAAAAAAATTCTTTTTTAAAATCTTTTTGTTAGAAAATATATTTTTTAAATTGACGATTGAATTAGTTCATTGTATTCATATAGGGTCAAAGAGTGTTGCTGTAAAAAATCATCAAAATCGGAGTTAAAATAACCGTTAAATCTTGATTTTTCATTTATAACCGTCGAAAAGTTTTGTCCCATTACTTGATCTCTGAATGTTTATTTTTTCCGATTTTTAGCGTATATGATCTCGAAGTATAAACAAACAAGTTTGACGGTTGGATCGTTGAAACTAGTTTCGTAGAATGCGTATGCCATCAAAACAATATATTCACTAACAATTAAGAGTTTATTTATACTTTTGTTAAATATAACATAAGATTTTGTGGTATCCACTAGTGTAAATATTTTAAATTGACGATCGAATTAGTTCATTGTATTCATATAGGGTCAAGGAGTGTAGTTGTAAAAAATCATCAAAATCGGAGTTAAAATAACCGTTAAATCGTGATTTTTTATTTATAACGGTTGAAATTTTTTATCCCGTTACTAGGTCTTTGAATGTTTGTTTTTTGCGATTTTTGGGGTATACGATCTTGAAGTATATACAAACAAGTCTGACGGTTGGATCGTTGAATGATGTGTGTATATATATATATATATTTATTTACTTATTAAGTAGCTTTAAATTTATTTATTTTGTACGTATAACAATTAAGAAATTGAATAGTATATACATTTATTAAGTAGCTTTAACCTTATTTATATTTTAAATCGTAAAATAAAATAAAATAATTTTTTATTATTCATAGCAATTATTTTTATAAATATCGTGCTACGAACCAATTTTTCATCTCTCAAAAGTTTGCGCGACCACCAGTTTGTCGCGCAAAACTCTAAAAATTTGGGTGGGTACCAAAAATGGGACGCGGGAAATTTTTTTTTTTTTTTTTTTTTTTTTATTGTTTACTTTGCTTTGCGACCAATATTTTGTGTCGCTCAAAACTTTGCGTGACCAATATATATTTTTCGTCGCACAAAAATTTGGGCGGGTACCAAAAATGGGACGGGGGAATTTTTTTAGACTTTACGCGACCAATATGTATTTTTCGTTGTGCAAAAATTTCAAAATTTGGGCGGGTACCAAAAATTGGGAAGTGGGATTTTTTTGTTTTCTTTGTTTATACTATTATTCGTCGACTTTGCGCGTCCAATATTCCAGTATTCGTCGCGCAAAATTTCATGCGACAAATATGTTTCGTCGCGCAAAACATCGAGCAACCAATAATCCAATATTTTTTGTCGCGCAAAACTTTGCGAGACCAACAATATTGTTCGTCGCGCAAATTGATACGGTTTTTAAAATGAAAATAACTCCTCCACCATTTTCTTAATGTCTTTCTCTTACGTCTCCTCTCTCTTTCCCTCTCCCCAAATCCCACCATTTCTGTCACACTCACTCCTCTCACTTAATCTCTCATCATCTCTCTCACTCTCACTCACTCTCTCATCTCTCTTTTCACTATCTCTCACTCGCACTCACTCTCTCATCTCTCTATCACTATCTTCTCTAATTCTCTCACACTCACTTCTCTCTCTCATTCTCAGTCACTCTCAATCTTGCCAAAAGGTATATTCTCTCCAAATTTTAAATTTTTTTCATTAATATGTGTTTTTGGAGTTAGTTTTGAGTTTGTGTGGGGAGGGATTGGAGTTTGGGTTGGATTTGTGGTATAACAATTTTAGGGGAGATTTTTTTTTTTTTTTTTTTTTTTTGTTTGTTTTTTTTGACCTTTTTTTTGTGGTAGGGAATCATCAAGACTTTGACGGCTAAAGTTGAGGATTAGGAAGCTATCAAAACATATCCTCCGCCACTACCATCACAATACGCTTGTATTAGGATTTTATTATTGTACTTTGTTAATTTATGTGTACATTTTGAATATTATATATATTTATTGGATAATTTGATCACTATTTTTCATATGTAATTTTATTTTGAATATGTCAATTTAAATTAAAGTAATTAAAAAATATCATACAATTAAATTAAATTTAAAAAGTAAAAATTTGAAAAAAAGTAATATAATTAAATTAATATCAATTTAACTTAAAGTAACGAAAAAAATCATACAATTAAATTAAATTTAAAAAGTAAAAATTTGAAATAATTAATATAATTAAATTAATATTAAATAAATAATAAAACGAAAAGTCAAAAACCAAGATATTTCGTCGCGCAAATATTTGCGAGACATTAGTACTCGTCGTGCAAAACTCTAAAAATTTGGGCGAGTACCAAAAATGGGACGCGGGAATTTATTTTTAAATTATTTTTAAAATTCTTTTCGTCGCGCAAAACTTTAAGCGACCAATATTTTTTGATTGCGCAAAGTTGCTTTGCGCGACCAATATGTTTTGTCATGCAAAGTCACTTTACGCAACAAATATGTTTCATCGCTCAAAGTCAATTTGCGCGACAAATATTTTTTCGTCGCGCAAAGTCCCTTTGTGCGACCAATGAAAAAACTTCGTCGCGCAAAGTCTTTCTTCACGATCTTTGCACGACGGATTCTGCGCGACGAAGTTTCTGTCGCGCTGAAATTTGTGCGATTATAGTGTATTTTGCGCGACGAAGAGAATTTTGTCGCGCAAAGTGTAAAATGTAGTAGTGCGAGTCCGTCCGTTATTAGAGATCCAACTTTCTAGATAATTTCAGACTGTGAATTTAGAGAGACCGAGAATGAATTTTGAAGTTAATCATGTTAATATTACTAAGATACATGAACAAACTGGCCCATAGTTTGTAGATCCAACTGGCCAGATAAATCATGTAAATCGTAAATTCGAATTGAAAGTTAGCTATTTAATCAATAATTAATATATGGGTTAATATCATTTTACCTCCTCAAAATTTAGGGTCATTCTTGAAATGGATCACGTAGTTTTAATTTTGTCAATTTACGCCCTAAAGTTTTAAAATTCGACCAGTTTACACGTTCCTTCAATTTGACCTTTTAGTCTTCTGTTAAGTGATGATCCACCTTTTTAGCTTAAGTGTAATAAAATATGTAATAAATAATATTAAAAAATTCTTTATTTTTAAAGTTAAGTAAAATCAATTATTTAAAACAATAAAAAAAACATAATTAAAAACCCAACACTATGACCAAACTCCCCAGCCGTCACCAACCAACTCCAAACCTAGAATCTCCACTACCCCATCCTTCTTCTTCTTCCTCTTTCTTCTCTTCCACTATCCCCACCTTTGTTTCCAACACCCATTTCTCCTTCAGATGCCTACGCTTATCTCCACCCTTCAAAGGAAGGAGACTGGGGGTAGGAATGGTTTCAGATATGGGGTGTGATGAGTTGGGGAAGGGGCAGTGGCGGAGGTATAGTTTGATATTTGGGGGGGCACAAGCTTAAAACTATGGGATTTTTTTGTGCAATCTATACTACACTCTTTCTATAGTCAAAGAGGTGAGAAGATGGTGAGGGGGCCCAGGCCATCTCAGGCCTATGAATAGCTCCGCCCCTGGGAAGGGGGAGAGTGGGTTGTTTGCAGGTGGTGGTTGTGAGGTAGTCTGGGTTGTTTGTAGGCGTTGGTTGTGAGGTGGTTTGGGTTGAAAGAGAAGAGACGGTGGTGTGGGGTTGGTGGGGTTTGGTTGGGTGGTTTGGTGTGGTTTTGGTTGTTTAATAATTGAATTTAATATTTTTAATTAACTTAAATAGTAAAAAAAATTAAATTATTTTTTATATATTTTATTACATCTAAGATAACAAGGTGGACCCCATGTTTGCCACGTCATTAGTTAACCCACATTTGCCACGTCATCACTTAACAGAAGATCAAGCGGTCAAATTGACAGTATGTGTAAATTGGTCGAATTTTAAAACATTAGGGCGTAAATTGACAAAATTAAAATCTCGTGGCCCATTTTATGAATGATCTCAAATCTTGAAGGGGTAAAATGATGTTAGCCTTTAATATATCAACAAAATGAGAACATAATTAAGCAGCTAAAAATTTTCTACAACAAAATTTAAAGCAAAAATACATTGCAAATCAAATTTTTTGGGACAACCATTGCAAATCAATGGTGAAGACAATTCTTAATTTAATTTAATTTCTATTTCTTTTAATTAGAAAATATCCCAAGTTTAAATCCTATGTCCCAGGTGACAGAAAACAAGTTCCAACAGTCCAACTTGGCCAAATGGGTCAAGTCCAACTTGTAGCTCCTTGTTTCCTGTAAGATCAACAAACTATGGATTCATCATTAGCCCGCTAAAGTCAGCAAAACGACAACTCGATTTTAACCCTTGACTAAAATTTTGTAATTTTACAGGAATTATTTGACTTTCTTTTTTGTTTTTGTCAAAAAAGTCATTTTTCATCTTAAATAAATATGGTAACGGCAAAAATATAATATTATTGTTGCCAATGACGACTATTATTGGGGTGGACTCAAGCTAAGGTGATTTTCCGTTGCTACACGTCACTCAATATATAATATTCATGTGTTATGGTTGAAATTTCACCACACATACATGGGCGTGTGTAAGGATGTGAAGGATGTCCTATATTGAACAAAAATAAGCTCATCACAATCAAAAGCAAATCCTATCAAGTGGACATCATTATTACAATTTCTCAGCACATGCTTAAGTTTAAAAACTATATCATCGATCCCATTGCTTACGCAACCATACTGTGTGTGCATGTATATATACGAAAATCTTTAGAGGGAATCCTTAAATAAGTTTATTTGAGAGACATCCAAACCGTTTATTTTTTAGATATTTATTATATATATATATATATATATATATAAGCTACTATAATTAATGTGTTAGACTAGTGTAGGATAACTTCTCCCAATAATGTGATCTTAACCATGTTATTATACGAATTTCAGCACCAAATTTCTAATCCAGGATACTGATATTGTAAATGTGTCGGCCGATATGTATAGTCCCTTGGCACTGTTGGGAGAAGGAGCTATATTTATCTTTATAATCAGTAGGTACGGAGAAGAGCGATATTCGTTCTCATCCTATCAGTTACGAGTTTTGTTTTTGTTTTTTAGGTTTGGTAAATAGGAAGATCACATGTTCACATCGTGCAATGTACCCAAAATAATTGCACTTTCTTTCTGTACCGCAAACCCTAAAGCTAGCTCTACCTTTTTTTTTGTGCAAAATAACTTTCCTCCATAACCCGCCAACGAAAGAAAATAGGGAATGGACCAAACATGATTTCTCATGTCTGTGCAAAATCTGTAATCTCTGTGAAACCGAATTACAAGCCGGTGGGTTCTGAAATCCAACACATGCGTTCACGGATTGCACTTCTGTCAACTAGTCACGGATTGTTTATTGAAGTTTGCACACCACCAACAACAATCCAAACTCTGCATTTTATTTTCACTTGGAATCTCCACAGCTCTCATGTTTTTTACCACAGCTTGTTGTTCTTCTTCCACGTTTAAATATAGTCCTTGTTTTCCCTTCCATTTTTCACACACTAAACTCACGGATTGCTCATAAAATTCAGCTATATATAATCCTCTGGATCGTCAAACCCATCAAAACCCAGAAGTAAAGTATAACTAGTAGCTAGTGATCTTGTAAAATCATGGGTTCCAAGGTCACTGCCATGTTCTTCATCTTTTTGATTTGCATGGTTTTGGCATTGCCTCCAATTCAAGCTTGTACACCTTGTACTCAGCCACACCCATCAAAACCACACCCTCCACATCATCCATCACATCCACCACAACCACCTTCCCACACTCCAACCCATCCCAAAAACCCACCAACCCCAAAACAACCACCACACCATAAACCGCACCCAAAATCCCCATCCAAGAACCCACCCGTTATATCCCCGCCCACAGTAAAACCTCCACAGCACCCAAAACCCCCATCCAAGAACCCACCCATTATATCCCCGCCCATAGTAAAACCTCCAGTCACTAACCCTCCTGTGACAATCCCACCGCCTTCCACTCCCTACCCGCCTTACCCCGGCAGCCCTCCTGGCGGTGGAGGAGGCGGAGGGGGCGGAGGAGGCGGTGGTTGTGGTGGATGTGGTGGTGGTGGAGGAGGTGGAGGTGGAAGTGTTCCGGGTCCAAACCCTCCTCCGCCCACGTCACCAACATGTCCAATTGATGCGCTTAAGTTGGGGCTTTGTGTGGACGTGCTTGGTGGTTTGGTGCATATTGGGCTTGGGAACCCAGTTGAGAATGCTTGCTGCCCAATTCTTGGAGGATTGCTTGAGCTTGAAGCAGCCATTTGTCTTTGCACTACTATAAAGCTTAAGCTTCTTAACCTAAACATATTCATTCCTCTTGCTCTTCAAGCTTTAATTACTTGTGGGAAGACTCCTCCCCCTGGTTTTGTATGCCCTCCTCTCTAAGTGTGTACGTTTTTGTTAACATGGGGTTAACATTTCTAGCCAGGTTAATTAGAATATGGTGTTAGTTTCTTGATGTATTAATTCGTGTTACTTGAATTGGTATATCTTTTCTTTTGCTAATGACAAGTTAATTACATTCAAGTACGTAATATTTGTTTGATTAAGAATGACGTATGTATTGGCAACTAAACATAAAACTTATGGCTGCCCATGAAAAACACAATGATTGATATCTACCAAGTAGACAATTACATAAAAACTCATTAACTCAATTGCAAAATAAAATGAAGCGCCTTTAATCCATTCACCCTCTCATTATCGGCATTGCACCCCAAGAAATTGTATAATTTAATTTGATAAATATTTGCAAAAAATCAATTCATCACTTTCATAAGCTAATAACAAAATAATTATATCCATTGCAATAATAATCATATATATGGCTGATTTTCAGATTGAATTTCTTCTCTTAGCCAGCAGGATCACTTGTTTTATAACCAAATATCATCTTCAACATCTCAAACCACATCGCGGTTTGAGGAAATTGATATTCCGAAAAAGGTCATCCTGCACTCCTCCATATGCAATTTCTCCCTTGTATTTTTTTTCCCTTTAATTAGCGGTGTTAATCGGATATGCTTGGTAAGAGACCCCCATGTTGGTGCTGATCTAGGGTCGTTTTCTTGCTCTGCCGAAGCATAATTAGTTTTGTTCTCATCCTGACCCGATTCTGGGCCCAACAGTACAGTGATATCCTGATAATCTGAAACTATTATTGCCTATATTCTCAATCCAAGTTGACATATCCTGACTGCGGATTCTTATATCAATCAACCTGAAGCCCTCTGGATACAAACGAAAACATATTTATCATAGCAGATAAAATAGATCTCATTTCCATGTGAAAGAGAAAGATGGATCGATCATATGCAGCCATCTCATAACTTTAAGCATTATATAACTAAATAATCAGATCAAAAAAGCCCTCTGCGTTTCTGTCTTTTTTTTTGGACTATCAATACCAACTCTACGTTGCAGGAGGAACATTTGTTGTTTTCTTCCGTTCATAAACAAATATTTTGCTTACAATCATCCATGTTTGGAACCAACCAAAGAAACCCTCGTTTCTTTGTATGATATCATAGAAAATTTGAATGTGCCAAAACTTGTTCACGGGGCTGAGATGGTGGGTTAAGCAAGGGGGACCAGCTAATCTATCTACTTTGGGGATCAAGCCAAGATTAAGGCACCTTCCTCTACCGATCAAACTGAGAAACCTTCCTAATGAGCTGATAGAGATATATGTGTGTATATATATGTAGAATATTGTCCTTTAGGTAAAAAAACAGTTAATCGTGTAACAAATTTATATGTAGATAGAGCTGGATTCGTACAAATTAGCATTAAGTATTAATTTAAATATTCTATTATATACCAATTGATCAATCTTCCCAATGATACAAATGGAATACAATAATTCGATACGCGTTATAATTTGAGTGAACTTATAACAACACTTAAGGTATTACCGACACACCAATTATCTCAAAAAACAAAAAAGATTATTGGCATAGCTTGGAAGTATTAAACACTATGGGATGGGCATCATGATCATTTTCTTGAAATTATGACATAATTTGGTATGCTAAAAATCAAACACAAGTGGGTTGGGACCTTTGCCTTTAAAAAAAATAAAAAAATGTAGCGTTGAAAGGGAAGCCATCCCTTTTCTTCGTTTCCAAGCCAAGGATGGGTTTGCATTTCTTTTGCTTAACCCATCCTCATCAGTCACGGATTGAACAGTGGAAAATAATTGTCATGTAGGCTTGCTTTAAGGGACCATCAGTGAACTAAAAAGTAGCATTGTGCCAAAAGTTGGAGTCGTATCTCTTTAACTCCCAAGTGCTCCAACAAATAAACGACATCTTAGATGACATTTGGTATGTTTTAACGATCCACCTTTTCTTCATGGGCACATTTCTATGTGCTTGAATAGATGTAGTCGACCAACTTCATGCCAACTTTCATTCTTTCTTTCTTTTTTCTTTTCTTTTTTTTTTTTTTTTTTTTTTTTTTTTTTTTTTTCATCAGTCAGTGCATGTGAATTATATTTATAATGCATGTGATCACTTTCAATTATTCTGAAATTGAAGTTGACATATGTACATATGTGTACAAAGAGACACATACCATCAAGAGGGCACATCAGTACTAAAAAAAAGAAGACAAATTTGTTCACAAAAATTACGCACGCCAATTATGAAAGAATATTTGTTGCTGAAAAGTGAAAGTGGTTCAAGTATCCAATAGGCTAATTGAAAGGTCCAATTGAAGTCTAACCAAGTTAAAATACATATATATATATATATTTTTTACAAAACGATATGCTAAATTACTCTAATGTACGTACTAGAAGGGGAATTAAACTCAGGTGCAAGAGGGTGAGTATACTACCTTAACTAACTGGCCTAACTCACATTTGCAAATCAACATAAATTTAAGCAAGCGATCCACTGCAAGTTTGCATGCTGCTGCATGTGAACTAGTGGTATTATTGGGCCAAGTGCAAATAACTTCTCATTCCAGTGTTAACAGTATTGAGAAGATTAATTGGTAATTAATAAATTAATTTTTCATATATAACTCCAAATTAATTTTTATTTTCTTTCTAAATTTCACTTGTTATACAAAATTTAAGGCCAAATAATAACGTTATGTGAGTGTTACTGCCCCTCTTTTTTTGGGGCTTCTAGGAAGGGATCAGGATCAGGTTCAGCAAATGATGCCTACAGAATTTTCAAAATGAAAAGTTAAGCAAATTAAATTATATTAGTTTCCAAAAGATTACATTAATAGAAACATCTTTAACTTAAACTTATTCATAATAATCACCCCATGTGGAAACCGCCATAACAAAGGAAACGAGAAATTCCCACTTACACTCACACAATACAAACAATTTCAAGCCAGAAGATAATAACAAAGAGAAAGATAAAGCACAAAGATGATCGAACAAATGGCTATTGTCGTTTTAGGCACATTGGAAATCTTTAGGAACCTTATTGCCGCAAACATTAAGAAGCAAGCTGAGAGAAATTGGAATGTTGAGGTTGATGCCCAAAATGTTGGCTTTGATGGCAGTGCAGAGGCACACAGCAGCTTCAACATCAGCAAGGCCTTGGATGAGACTGCAGCAAGGCGCTACAGGAGGTTTACCAATGGTGATGTTAAGCAACCCATTGAGAACATTAGCACAAACCCCTAATTTGAGAGTATCTCTAGGGCATCTGGTGCCTGTGGAAGGTGTGGAAGGTGTGGAAGGGGTGGGGCTTGGCCTTGGGTTTGGCCTTGGTCTCGGGTTAGGACCGGGGCACGTGCCACAAGAACTTACAAGAGCAAAGAAGAGGAGATTGAGTGCAAGGAAGAGACTAAGGGAGGCAGTTGTTTTGGAAGCCATTTCTGATCAAACCCTAGAAGTGTTTTTCTTTTTCTTTTTTCAGTTTTTGTACTTGAAGTTAGCACACTAGTAGAACTAATAGAACTTACAAGTATATGTGAGAGTGTGAAGAATTAAGGTTCAGTGGAGTGCGGTTTTATAGGGTTAAAAAACGGTGAGGTGTTCAACTTGATGCTAACAGAAAATTAAACAAATAAATTAAACAAATAATCTGAGCTAGCTGATCCCATGTGTATTCTTGTGATTTTAGCTGGCAGTGCAAGCAAATTAAAGGCAAAATTTTGTATTTTGTGTGGTGGGGGCTGCCAAATTGCCAGGCTCCTTGTCTTGGCACAAATCTGTGGATGCATATCTCATCATGCACTGTTCTTGATACCTCAATTCCAGAGAATTATACGGCATCAAGATTTTCGGGTTTGAACCTTTGATCAAAGGACAATGGTGGGACTGAAAAAATCACAATGTTTTAGGCACCTTAAAAACTTTGTCATAGAATTAATGTTCAAATCAACTAGCTCTTGGTCTAGTGGTACATTCACGGATGTCAGGACCTCGAATGTAAAGATAAACTGCTCTTCATCAGTTGAACTACAAGCCCATTACTAAAGATTTACTAACCAAATGTTTCAAATTTTACTAGTATTAAATTAAGGTTGTGTTTGAATCAAGTCATTGTTACCTCCAAGAAATTCAAAAAGATGGATGAGATTTTGTAAATATGGAATTTATAAAAGTCATAGGAATCTGTAAAGCAATCGGGTCATACGTCTCAGGGTCCAGGAGCTTAGGCCCATGTCCAGCTTTGAGATGACTCTTGTTTTGGCAGTAGGTCACAGTTTTAAGTCTGCGGCGCCCACTCCTAAATTTGGGACCCACCCCCCCCTCCCCTCCCTTTTCTTGGTCGTAATTCCTAAATAAGTGGTTAGAGATCACAACATTAATGTTTTATTTATTTATGCTACAATGTTGAATTTGAGTTCATATAAAGGTCACATTTTATGTTTCGCATGGGCCTCCAGAATTTTGAATCTCCTTTTCAGTTATAAAAATTTCAGGCAAAATAACGTATATCATAAAAGGTACACAGAAAGAAAAAAAACCCTTGCTTTTATAAGATCTGCGATATGGGATTATTGCAGCTTTCTTCTTTTTGTTATGGGAATTATTTTTTTAAAAAAGGAAGTGGTATTTGATTCCCATAATCATAAGTTCCATAATTTTATTAGCAAACATGAAAGACTTCAACTCTATGCACTAATCTATCACCATGCAAATTAGGCACGAAGAAAAAACTCACAATTTCACCCTCACATTACACGCGATTATATGATACTTGCATAACAAGAAAAAGCTGCGCAAGATCAGAGAAATGAATGATATCTGTTAGTTTTATAAGGCACATTGGAATCCATCTGGAACTTTATCTCCACAAGCACTAAGAAGCAAGCTGATGGCAACGGGGATGTTGAGGTTGATACTCAAAATTCTGGCTTTTATGGCAGTGCAAAGGCACACAGCAGCCTCGAGGTCTACGAGGTGGAACTAGACCAACGTTAGAGCATTTCCACCCACAAGGGCTAAGTCTAAGGCAAGGGCTGCCACTATTCATGTGAATAGTGTCAGCCTTTGCATTTGTGGTTCCATCCACAAGGGCAAAGTCTAGGGCAAGTCTAAGGCAATTACTATTCATTGTACTTTATTTTCTATTTTTTTATAGTTTAAAGCATTAATTTTGATAATCTTTTGTAATTAAATTTTCGGATAAGATTTTCACCCTCTAAAATTGTGCCACGTCTGATGTAGAACAAATGTCAGATTTTATCGCTTGAGCTAGAAAAAGGACGTAGTGGGAATTTGCAGATTTGTCGTCCGAGCTCCGATTAGGACGCAAAATACCATTTCGGAAAGGGAACGACGCCACGAGTCAAAATGTCAGATAACATTTTCAGGTCGTTTGGCCTTCCAAAACGGCATTTAAAGTTTCGTAGTTAATTTTCAGTATTTTAGATTTTAATAAAAATTATTCAAAGAAAATTCCTTTTAAAATTGTCCCACGTGTCAAATGTTAGATAACATTTTCAGATATTTTAAAAAAATTTTAATCTCAGATTTCAGATAAGATTTTCACTCTCTATAATTGTGCCACGTGTCAAATGTCAGATAACATTTTCAGATATTTTAAAAAAATTTTAATCTCAAATTTCAGATTAGATTTTCACCCTCTACAATTGTGCCACGTGTCAAATGTCAGATAACATTTTCAGATATTTTAAAAACAATTTAATCTCAGATTTTTGATAAGATTTTCATCCTCTCAAATTGTGTCACGTGTCATCTCTATCTTCTAAATCCGTCTATAAACTAGACCTGATTTTCAAACCTCTCACACCATCTCTTATCTATTCCTTCATTTCTCAGATTGTAAAAAACACATTCTACTCTCAATGTCAAACTTGTTGAGGGTGTTGGAGAGGCAACAGAAACAAAGGGAAGAAACAAGGCGTAGACGTGCTCAAGAAGATCGGGAAGCCGATGAAGAAGAGGAACTACTGCTTGCAGCAGCGGTGTGTATGATGGATCAATCAAGGCAAAACCGTCGTCCTCGTGCCCCGAATGTGGACAGACGTAGGGAGTCTCGGGGTAAGAATCTCATGGAGGATTATTTTATCCCAATTCCGTTATATCCTGCTTCTAAGTTTCGAGAAAGATATAGAATGCAACCACATTTGTTCCAAAAAATCATGCATGATATTTGTAATTACGACACATACTTCATTCAAAAGCATGATGCTGTTGGAGCTTTAGGTCTTATCCCGGAGCAAAAACTGACAGCTGCTTTGCGGATGCTTGCTTATGGGGCATCTGCAGAGCAGGTGGATGAGATTGCAAGGATGGGAAAATCTACTGTCCTAGAGTGCTTGGTGAGATTTTGTAATGCAGTGGAAAATTTGTAAACGAGGGAGTACCTTCGCAAACCAACGCCAAGAGACCTGCAACGGCTTCTACAAAAAGGCGAGGCCCGAGGTTTCCCAGGAATGATTGAAAGCATCGATTGTATGCACTGGCAGTGGAAGAACTGTCCTACTGCTTGGCAAGGGGAGTACGGGAATCGGAAGGGCCAAAAAAGTATAATTTTGGAGGCCGTAGCTTCATTCGATTGTTGGGTTTGGCATGCCTTCTTCGGGGTTGCCGGTTCTCAGAATGACCTCAATGTCCTTGGTCAATCCCCAGTGCTCGATGAGGTATTGCGAGGTCATTCCCCCCAGGTCACGTACCAAATCAACAATACCGTTTACTCTGGTGCGTACTACCTTTCCGACGGAATTTATCCTAGGTGGACGACATTCGTGAAAACAATTCCGAATCCCCAATCCGAGAAGGAAAGAAACTTTGCTTCCTTTCAAGAAGGTTACAGGAAAGACGTGGAGAGGTGTTTCGGTATCTTGCAAGCTCGTTGGGCAATTATTAGAGGTGCTGCTCGGATGCTAGATGAGGAGGTGCTGCGGAGTATTATGATGACTTGCATCATCCTTCACAACATGATTGTGGAGGATGAGTATGACTATGATGCTCAAGAGGTGGTTGAACCCGATCCAATGAACACATCGTTGACAAGAATATATGAAAGGCCGATTGGACCAAATGGACTACCACTGGAGCCCGAACCCATACTTCGGGATGGTCAATTCAACAACCCCATGATTGATCAGTATCAAGAAATGCAATCTTCATATGTTCACGAGATACGTCAACGTGACTTGATCGAGCACTTGTGGGAGATGAAATGCAATCACAATGGATGAAGTCAAGATTAGTGCTTTGTTTGGAATTATGCTTTGTTTTTAATTATGCTTTGTTTTGTGTGTGGTTATGTTTGGAATTATGCTTTGTTTTTAATTATGCTTTATTTTGTGTGTGGTTTTTTTTTGGAATTATGCTTTTTATTATTATGCTTTTAGGTATGGTTTGTTTTGTGTGTTGTTTGCAATCAATGAAGTTTTTTTTTAATTAATATTTGTTTTGATGCTAAAATGTTTTTAATAAATAGTCATTTAATTTAATGCTTTTTTGATTGAATAAAAAGGGAACAATACAACAAATTAAAGGATAATACAACAATACAACAATACAACAATACAACATATGGCAAAGGTGTTTCAATTGCTTCCTAATGGTTTTCATCATTTAACCAATCCGTATTGCTAGGTCCGTCGTCATTGAAAAGTTTTTTCCTCATCACATCTCTTCGTCGTAGCTTCCAATAAGCCTTTGTTTCGGGAGACATATGGCTCGTATCCATAGCCATGATTTTCATCTCTCTATCCTCTATGTCTTTTTCTTGTGCCATTTGTTGTTGGAGAACAAATGCTTCCTCTCGTGCCATGTCCATTTCATCTCTTTTCAAGTCTCTCTCGATTCTTAGTGAGGCGCTCTTAGCTATTTGCTCCAATAATTGTACACAATCATTGGTCGAAGTGGCCCCTCTTTTGGCCTTTGCCGCCTTTCTCCCAATAGGTCTTGGCGGACGTGGCACAAATGGTGACTCCGTTTCCATTGGGGAGTCCAATGGAGAATCGGTTGATGTTGAATCGTGGCGTCTCATTCATCACAACCGGCGGACCGGTGGGAATAATTTTGAATCTCGAACAATCCTTCACAATTTCCCAACATTGGAAATGCACGAAACTTTTTTTGCCTTGCCCCATGGCACCGAACCACATTTGTGCTTGTACCATCTATTAAAAATAAATAATTGGAAGTGCAAGAAACAAAAATTATTATGCAAGAAAATATAAACTATTTTGAAATGCAAAAATAAAATTGATTATGCAAGAAAATATAGACAAATTAAAGGTGCACCAAGAAAAAAAAATTATGCAAGAAAAACAAATAGAATAAGCAATAAAAAAAAAAGTGACATTGAATTGATTAAAATGGCAATTATAAATATTTTACCTCATCGGTCAAATTTTGACCGCTTTGAATGTTCGCCTTTGCTTTTGTCAAGGCATTCCTTCATTTCCCTAACTCTTTATTAAGAAGTTTCCATCTACTAGACAACGCCATTTCGGTCCGAATAGAACCCGATCTTTGACAAAATTCTCCATGAATTTTGCTCCACATGTGATGAAACTTCATCTCATTACCCGTGATAGGGTCATGACTAATGTTCACCCAAGATTGACACAACGCAATATCTTCATTCGTTGACCACGAGCCTCCGACTTCAATAGAAGATGCCATTTGTTTTGTTTTTTTTTATACAAATGGAAAGTAGTAGAAAGAGAGTAAAAAATATTGGAAGGAGAAGAGTTTGTATGGAGAATTGGTGTGGAAGTGAAAAATGTGAGTGGAGATGAACAAAAAAATTGGAAGGAGAAAAGTTTGTATGAAGAATTGGTGTGGAAAGTGAATAATGTGAGTAAAGAGTAAAAAATATGGGATGGAGAAGAAATTGTATGAAGATTTTAGTGTGGAAAGTAAATAAAATGGTTAGGTATTTATAGAGAAAAAATACAGAATTTTTGGGTATTTTTTAAAAAAAATTTCAGATTTTTTTCAATTTTTTTTGCAATTTTTTTAGCCAAAAAAACGAGGACCGTCGGATTTCTGGAAAAAATCCATCGGAGAGTCCCCGTTGCGCCACGTGGCACCCGCCCGTTGGAGCTGTCAGTGGCTGACGCCAGCGCTGGCGTCACGCTGACGCCAGCGCTGACGTCAGCCAACTCGGGCTTCAGCCCGGGCAAGACTTGCCCTTGGGCTTCCTTGGGCTCGTGGGACCCGCCACCAAACTGGGCTACGGGCCCTGCGCTGGAGCTGTCTCGGGCTGCGTCGGGCAGCCTTTCCCCCGGGCTTCCTCCTGCGCTGGAGATGCTCCGTAACCAACCCGCCGAGCACGTCTGCACAAACCCCTAATTTCAGGGCATCCCTAGGGAAGGCCTAGGCAACTCTATTAGGGGCAGGGTTAGGGTTGGCATTGACAAGGGCAAAGAAAAGGAGATTGAGAGCGAGGAGTGAGGCAATGGTTTTTGAAGCCATCTCTCAAACCCTAAATCTTGTGTGCTATTGTAATTAGTACTTACTCTAATTACTAGTACTCGTAGAAGAATATATGTAGTGGTGATTGGTGAGGGCTTAATGTCTAAAGAGATTGGACATTTATAGGTGTAATAACTTGATGTTAACAGAAAATACAGCAAAATAAAATTAGTGATCCGAGTTTCCATGTGTGCTTATGGTTTTCGTTTTTCTCTGGCAGAATAAGTAGATGTAAATCCAAAATGGTTTGGCCTTGTTGCCCATTATGGGCTTCTGCAAATTGCCTTTTTTTTTTTTTTTTTTTTTTTTTTTTTCAATAAGTACGTTGGTCATATAACTTATGGGGTACTTAGGAGTCAAGTGTAGCCTTCTGGCCGTTTGTGGCGAGGTAGTGTCATTTCTCACGATCTCTGGCCATTTTCGTTGGTTTTGGCATATCACGAAGTTTTGTCGACATTGCCGCCAAACCAAAAATCTTAAGATTAACTTCATACGCAACTCCCTGCGTGTGAAGTTAATCATCAGATTTTCAGTCCCAGAATAGTGCCTATAAACTCATCACTAGTACTAGTTTCATACAACCATTTTGTTTTAACGAGTTAGGTCATCATGGTACATTTATGAATCTTTCTTCTTTATTACGTGTTATATGCAACTATGTATTTCTATCTCCCTTATTATGTGATATTACACGTGATGAGTGAAATAGACACATAATTGTATACAACTACATGAGAAATTAAAGAAATTCTATAACTCGTTCTTTCAAATTGTGAAAGAAACACACACACACACACACACACACATATATATATATATTTGATCTATAACTCGTTCTTTCAAATTGTGAAAGAAACACACACACACACACACATATATATATATTTGAGAGGTGGTTAATATATATTTGAAAGGTACGTAGAAGCAGGGACGGACCCACAATGGGGTCAATGGGGTCAAACGACCCTATGGACTCCAAGCAAGTAAGGTAGAAGGTCCCTTTGAATTGGGGTGTGACCCCATGAAAGGCTGAAGAAGGAGTTGCAGGTACTGAGGAAGAAGAAGATGAACAGAAATCTGTTTTTCTTTTTTCAAAAGAAGCTAGCCAAAACGGCGTCGTTTTGGCCCAGCTTCTAATTTTTTTTTAAAACAGGCTGGCCAAAACGGCGTCGTTTTGGACCAGCGCCTTTTTTTTTTAACCCGCTGCCAAAACGGCGTCGTTTTGGTAGCAAATTTTTTTTTTAAAAACTGCGCTGGCCAAAACGACGTCGTTTTGGACCAGCAGCACAGCACCAAATTTTTTTTAAAAGACCTGGCCAAAACGACGTCGTTTTGGTCCAGGTCTTTAAAAAAAAAGAGAACAGATTGTGTATACACAGACCCTCCATCTCTCCCGAGTTTTCAACTCCAAAACCCCCATTTTCTAAACCCTCAAACCTAAATCCCCAATCTCCACCCCCCCCAAACCTTTAACCCTCTCCCCCACCAAGCCTTTAAGCCCCAACTCCTCCATTGCCGCCTTTTACACTATGACCCTACGACATAAAATTCCTGGTTCCGTCCCTGCGTAGAAGAAAACTATAAGACATATGTAATTATTTTAGTCTCGCATGAAGTATGCATGATTCTTGGCAGATTCTTGGTGGAAGGAAGTGTCACGGACAGTACATCTCTAGAAGAAGGCTGGACCTACAATAGGCTCCACCAGAGCTTCAATATTTGAAAATATGTGTGATCGCTTCCAAATTAAAACACAAGTTTGTCTTTCCATTCACACGTTGTAGAGAAATTTCCGATGATTCGATCGGTATTAAGTCAAAAGTGTATCTTGGGATTAGCCAGTGATATGATGTTTATTAATCGATTCTATTTTTGCGGCAAGATGTATTTTGGAAGTCTCCAAAAGTTTATAGATATGGAGAATAATTGCTTTCCTTGCGGGCGAGATCGACAGTTTTGTCTCCATATGCGTTCATAGCTTCCCAAAGTTTGTAGTACTCTCGTGATCGACAAATATGCTGCACTAAGTTTCAGGGAAACATTGAATCCTATGAAAAGGCCCCCCGGGCTGAAACTCCTCTACTCCTCCCCCCACCAAGCAAAACCAGCCCTGGCAACTTGTGGGCTCCATCAAACCCAGGCAAGATCAGTTTGAGCTGCCTAAAGGCGCTGATGCCAACGACTAAATTAAATTTTTTTAATGTTAGAGCGTGAGCCACATGCAAGGCACGCACTAGTCATGCTTAGCGAAATCTTTAGCAAAGATTGAAAAAAAATATTAAAAAATTCAGATATATTTTTTTTAATACCTAACATTGTTCTTCACTTTCCACACCAAAACTTCATACGAATTCCTCTCCTTATATCATAAGTATAAATAAAATTAATCTCGTGATAATATTTTATTCCCATATAATGATAGGTTACACAATTTTATGAGTAAACATTGGAGGGACCTTAACTTTATTTACTAATTAATCACCATGCAAATGAGGCACGAATAAAATTCCACTTTCATCCTCGCATTACACAGAATTATTATTTGACACTTGCACGCATGCATGCATGATACATAACAAGAAAAAACCGCATGAGATCAAAGAAAGAAACGATATTTGTGCGTAGTTTTATGAGGAACATTGGAACCCATCTGGAAGCTTATCTCCACAAGCACTAAGAAGCAAGCTGAGAGCAACGGGAATGTTGAGGTTGATGCCCAAAATTCTGGCTTTAATGGAAGTGCAAAGGCACACAGCAGCCTCGAGGTCTACAAGGTCAAGGAGGATGGTGCAGCAAGGTCTCACTGGAACTTGACCAACATTAACGTTAACCAACCCACTGAGCACGTTAGCGCAAACCCCTAATTTCAGGGCATCCCTAGGGCAGGCAATTCTATTTGGGGCAGGGCTAGGGTTGTTGGCATTGACAAGGGCAAAGAAAAGGAGGTTGAGAGCTAGGAAGAGAGCAAGTGCAGGTTTTTTTGAAGCCATCTCTCAAACCCCAAATATTTTGTTGTACTTGCGGTAAGTACTTGTAGAAGAATAAATATGATTAGGGTGGTGAGGATTTAATGTCTAGAGAAAGTGGACATTTATAGGCCCATTTTAGACTCTGGAAATTGCCAACTTCCATGTTTTGGCATCAATAAGTACGTGGATGCATATGGAATACTACATTGTTCTTAAATGGATAGCTCAATTCTAGTGAATTTAGGGCATCAAGATTTATTGCGGTTGCATTTGAGCCAAATTTGAGCTTGTGATTTGGTCTAGTGGTTTGGTCATATGACTTATGGGGTAGTTAGGAGCCAAGTGTAGCTTTCGGGCTGTTTGTGGGAAGATGGCTTTGTGGCTAGGTCTTGTCATTTCTCACGATGTTTGGCCATTTTTGAGGGTTGTCATCTTCCGTGGAGTTTTGTCGACTTGCCCCCTAACCAAAAATCCGATGCTTAACTTCATGCGTAGCTGAAATTAGTTTCAGCTGCGTAGACTGCATGTTAATCATGAGATTTTTATTACCGGAGGTCTATTGACTCATCTCTATTTATTGGTTGTATAGACGTATGTGTTCTTATCTCTTTTATTATGTGATATAACACATGATATGAGAAAGATAGACACATAAATTACATATATAACCCTCTCATGCACCTAAATTAATTTGAAGTTACAAAGTATAGGAAATCAAGGTAATCCTATAACTCATTCTTTCAAACCGTGAAGGAAGAAAAAAGAGAGGCACTAGAATGTAACAAAGTTTGAAAGTGTTGGTTAACCTATATATGAATAGGGAAGCCCAACCTGGTTGTACACCATTTTAGTGTTCAAAGGTCCAGCATTGGCATAGATAAAAGCCCATTATAAATGGACGCCCATACATCTATTAGGAAATCATCGGTAAGACTAGTCGTCTATCTAACAAGAATTCTATAGTGAGGTCTTATATACAGTTCTTAGGTAAGGTCCTATCTTTTAACCATTGGATTAAATTGGTTAGCCTGAACCAACAGTTAAGAAATAGGACCTCACTTAAGGGCCATATATAAGGCTGTCATGCCCTGGACTCGGGGGTCGGTGGAAACCCTGCGCTCGGTGCGTGAGAAAATAAAAACTAAAATAAAATAAAAAGATGCCAAAACATTGGGTTTGAAATAAACTTCTCTTATAAAAATAGATTCAAAATCTTACAACTTTACAATAAATAAAGCTCTATCACTCTCATCTAATTCAGCCTGAACTGGTTTAGTCTTTTTCTTGCCCACTACTTCATCTGAAAAATTAAACAGGGTGAGGGGTGAGCAACCATAGCTCAGTAAGGACATGAGACCTTACCACAGTAGATTGATATAACTAAATTAAGTGACATGCAATCACACAGCCAAATATCACATTAATAATAATAATGCATGAATGAATGCTCTTCATCTACTCCCTTTAATTCATATAACTGGACAAGCAGACCTGCACGTCCCATACCACACTTATACCACTTGGTCCTGAATGCCCATTTATATGATCTAACACCCATTTCAATCATCCCATAATTCCCCTTTTGTTAGTCATCTTGTCTAACTCCATTTCGTCAGTCTCGAATCACCCAATAAAAAACATGTGCACTGTGGGATCCCTGAGACCTGGTACCTGCCAAGAATTAGACTCAACTACACAAAAGACTATTTCCATTACCCTCTTTTCCATCATTATTTTCTTAATCCAACAACTCCAACCAATTACCATGACATGATATAATTATGCCAACATTATTCAAATAGTTCACAATACGTAAATATCCTATATCAAGAACGTTATACAATATCACACATAATATAGGGCTCACGAAATTTAATTAAATCAATCTTCTGTAAATGGCCCCCAAGAAACCCCTACCTTGACACCAAAGCTTTTGCTAGAATTGTAAGATGATTTCCTAATTTCCACCGCATTCACAAATTCAGTCTCCCACTCTTTTTCTTGACAATTCTCCTTCTCTCTCACTTTCTATTTTATTTACTTGTTCTACTGCCTCTATTTTTCTAAAAAGGGACATGAGAATTAAAGAAACAATGGTTTGTATTTATAGGATTCCAAAGGCGGTGGCTATGAGATAACTTCCATGCTTTTAGGATCATCTCCTTATTTCTTAAAGCTTAAGTAACTTTTCCTTCACTCCAAGTCAATAGAAGGATTTGAACAAAAATAGTGAAGACACGTAGTGATGACTCAACCATCTAATTCATTGACATATAATCAGTTTGCAAGTAAATAAACAAGTAAACCATATAATGCATAATTGTTTGACACATGCTGACTACTACGTGGAGTATAAAAGAACTCTTATGCATGAATTTTTAGATAGCTATGCACAAAATCATCAAAAGCAAATTTTTAATATTAAAAGCAAATTTTTAAGAAAATCATCAAAATCATTTAATCTAAAAAGAATGAATTTTCACTAAGTGAAACAATTAAATAAAACATAGACTTCCATAAAATAATTATAATTATAATTTAATACTTACCAAAGTAATAAAATATTAACATTTTTAAGAATAAGGATTCTAACAATCTACCCCTCTTAAAGAAATTTCGTCCTCGAAATTTAAAACTTACTAGAACGAGAGAATAATTCCGGGTACTTTTTACGTATATCAGTTTCTAATTCCCACGTAGCTTCTTATGTATTTCCATGCAACCAAAGAACTTTGACCAATGGTATTGTTTTTGTACGTAAAACTTGTTCCTTGTGATCCAAAATTTGCATTGGTCTTTCCTCAAATGATAGTTCTTCATCTAAGTTGAGCTCTCCCCAATCTAGAACATGGGTTGGATCGGGCTCATACTTCCGAAGCATAGAAACATGGAAAACATTATGTATATTCGAAAGTTGAGGTGGTAATGCTAGCTTATAAGCTACTTCACCAATCCTTTCCAAGATTTCAAATGGTCCAATAAACCTTGGTGCTAATTTTCCAGTTTTTTACTCCTCTTTGCAGTGAGATGTTAAGAAACACATAATCCTCCACATTAAAACTTAATGGTTTCCTTCTTTGGTCAGCGTAGTTCTTTTGTCGACTTTGAGCAGTTAAGAGACATTGCTTGATAAGTTTAACCTTTTCAGTTGTCTCTTGTACCAAATCAGGTCCTAACAATACAATTTCTTATACTTCAGTCCAACATACAGATGACCAACAAGGTCTTCCATATAAGGCTTCATAAGGTGCCATTTGAATGCTAGATTGATAGCTATTGTTGTAAGCGAATTCTGCCAACACCAAATGATCTTCCAAACTTCCCCCAAAATCTAGAATACATGCTCTCAACATGTCCTCTAAAATTTGAATGGTTCTCTCTGACTGTCCATCAGTTTGGGGATGAAAAGCGCTACTAAAATTTAGTTACTTACCCAACGCTTCTTGTAAGCTTCCCCAAAATTTGGAAGTAAACTTGGAATCTCTATTTAAAATAATTGAAATAGGAATCTCTTGTAATCTTACTATCTTTCGAACATAAAGTTTTCCAAGGTTTTCAATGGAATATGTTGTTTTGACTGGTAAGAAATGTGCATATTTGGTCAAACGATCCATTATAACCCATACTGAATCTCGTCCCTTTGGAGATTTAGGTAAACCTGTAACAAAATCCATGGTTATATGATCCCATTTCCATTCTGATACTAGTAATGGGTGTAATGAACCTAACGGTTTCTGATGTTCAGCTTTCACTTGCTGACATGTAAGACATTTTGCTACAAATTTCTCTACATTTTTTTTCATACCATTCCACCAAAAATTTCGTTTAAGATCACAATACATCTTTGTCCATCCAGGATGAATTGTATAGGACGAATGATGTCCTCATTTTAGAACTTCCTTTCTCATACCAGAAATTTTTTGTACATAGAATTTATTCAAATATCTTAATCCACTGGTTGCGTGGACATTCCATCTATATGGTGTCTCTCCAGTTGTAATCTTAGTTCGAATGTCTTTAGACACAAAATCCAATTCTTGTGCCTAAATTATTCTTCCAATCAAAGTGGGGTGAGTTACTAAATTACATAGATATGCACAAGCACAACCTTCATGCACACCTACATATAAGTCAGAATCATAAAGAGACTCCATCATCTTCCACCTTTGATCATACAAACTAGCTACAACACCTTGGGGATTTCGATTCAAGCATTTGCTACCACATTAGCCTTTCCTGGATGATAATGTAAGTCAAAATCATAATCTTGGGGATTTCCACCTTTGGGAAGCCGTTGACATGGCTTATGTGGTATGGTAAGGGGGTAAAAAAATGGTGTTATCATATGCTGGCAAGAAATGGAAGGATTTCAAGTCTACATTAACGAGGCATCATATCCTTCCATTCATCAATGAGAAGGAGAAGTTAAGACAACCCCCTGAATTATATAAATTCATAGAGAAAGCAGACTGGGATGCCTTTGTAGCTTCAAGGTTATCCGAACAATTTGAGTCTGTCTATGCTGAACAAGCACAGATGAGAGAGAAATGCGAGTACAATCATCGATTGTCTCGAAAAGGATATGTTGGTTTGGAGGATGATTTGGAAGAAAGCACGCCAGGGGTAGAAATTGATTGATCTACCTTGTGGAAGAAAGCTAGAGAAGACAAACACGGTAACATCCCCAATCTAAAGGTTGCGGAGAAAGCAAAATTAATTGTAAGCCTAAATTCACGTCACTCTGTTTTAAATTTGTATTAAACTGCATATGGAACTAACTTTCTATTTTTATTGACTTTAATGAGTCTTTGTGTTAATTAGGATGAATTGCAAAAACAAGTCAGTGAAGGCACTCTTACTGTCTCTAGAAGTAATGATGTGTTGACTATGGCTTTGGGTCCCGAGCATCCAGGGAGAGTTAGAGGTGTTGGGGCTGGGATTTCCACTAGGCAATACTTCAATTTACCTAGACAACAAAGAGTAAAGTTTGCCGATCAATTAAAGGAAAGTGTAAGAGATGTCCTTAAAGAAGAGACCTTGAAGATGGAGGCTAGACCCAAGCAATTGGTAGAAGCTGAGAGGGATAATTTGTTGAATCAGTTGTGCCAACTAATTCCAAATTTTGATCCAAGCGTGCTGAAATTGACAACTATCCAAGGTCCTAAGCAAAGTCCCAAAAATCCAATGTCAGATAAAGCAAGCTGCTCTGGGGCGCTGGATATCAGAGTCCTCAATTTTGAGGATAATAATGCCAAAGTTGGATAAAAGCAAGAAGAAATGGTAACTTCTATGAACTCTGCATAATGCTTTTGAAAACCAATTAGACGTCGTTATCTTAATTACAGACGTTAGAAACAACCCGCAACGACGTCTTTTATTTACCGTCGTCTCAATTTAAATTAGATGGCGTTTTCTTGTATTAACCGTCGTGTGTATTCCTTACCACGATGGTACGTTTGTGCAATATCTCATTTTGTACAAGTTGTCTTATCTATCTTTCTTTATTTCTTAAAACAGAAATCCAAGGATGCAGAATAGCAAGATGAAATGGTAAATTCTCTGAAATTTGAAATACTTTCTTATTTGGAATTACATCTGTGTTGCTAGGTTCAAAATTGTCGTTAGATATGACAGAAGATGTCGTTTTTTGGTTAACGACGTATTAAATTCCATACCACGTTTGTTTTTTTAATATGACATTGTTGTCATTCAAATACCACGACGGTATGGTGGATTTAGAGTTTTCCAATTTTTATTTTTTTCTTCACTCTCTCTCTCTCTCTCTCTCTCTCTCTCTCTCTCTCTCTCTCTCTGCAATTGATGTTATCAGCATTTCTGCTAACGCATTCTTTTAAGTTTGTAATTGCATTTGTTAATTTTGGAGGGCTCTGTTTTATACCGATGTAATAAAGTCATAAGACGACCGTTTTTACTTACCTCGTTTTAACTTCATATTACGTCTATTTTTTAAATAAACCGTCATTGGAATTCTAGTACCACGACGGTATTGTGGATTCAAATAGTGTCAAATTTTTTTTCAATCTTTCTTCACTCACTCTGTTCCACTCTCTCTTTCTCTCTTTCTCTCTCTTTATCTGCATTTCATGTCATTTGTATTTAGGCTAAAGCATGCTTTTAAATTGATATTGGCAATTGTTAATTTTCCAGGGCTTTATTTTACCGACGTAATTGATACATACGACGATGGTTTTTACTTACCGTCGTGGTTATTTAATTTACACGTCATTTTTTAATCTTCCCCGTCGTTTTATCTCAATTACCATGGTGTTTAAGTTTGTGTAGTTTACTTTGATTTTTTAACTTCTGTATTATATATCTTTCCTTATTTCTTCAAGCAGAAAGACAAGTGCTTGGACGTCTCTAAGAAGGAACAATAAGTACCAGATTACTCAAACCTAGTCTTGCCATCTTCTTTACAAGCTCTTTGTCGTTATATGGAGACGACATTAAAGGTTCATGAGAAGGCTATGATATTTACAATTGAGAAGGAGGTGTTTGGTTTTGAGTGTCAAACCTTCGTCTTGATTGAAGATATTACACAATTTGCAGCCATGGATTGGGGCTACTGTGGTTGCCATATACATGAGGTTTGTCCTTATCAACTCATTGTCATTTCACACTCTCCTTTCTTTAACAAAATTAAAAAAACTCATGACATCATTTTATATATGTAGGTGCCTATTTGATGTTTTGAAAACAGCAAATATGGTGAACCTTGTTGCTTTGTTGACCCTGCTTAAGTTAGCGCTAACTCTGGATCATTAACTCAAAGATCACGTTTGTTAGCCAATCGACTTCAAAAGACAGATGGGGAACATATTTTCTTTATGCCGTACAATCCAGAGTACGTTAGTCAACATGATTTTCTTTGTATGATGCAGTGTATATAAAACTCTTTAACATCTATGTTTATTTTGTGTAGCCGTCATTTGGTCTTGCTCATTGTGAGACGAAAGAGGGAGATTGTGTATTTTCTGGATCCAGTACCAGGAAATCGAGTGGTTGATGGCGAGTGCAAAAACATAGTGAACACATAAGTTGATCTACTCAATGTGTTATGTTGGTGTTTGTTTTTTTTTTTTTTTTTTTTTTTTTTTTTTTAACACTTTCTTGTCATGAAACAGTTCTATCAAGATGTATAATTCACACATAGGCAGACAAGGCCGTAAAGCACCTATTTGGAAAACTCTACAAGGCACACCAAAGCAACCCAGCAGTGTAGAGTGTGGCTATTATGTCATGCGCTTTATGAGAGACATCATCACAAATCCTTCTTTGGAGTTTGAGAAGAAGGTAAATGGAAAACTTTAGGATTTTAATTTCTGTGGTTTTTGTAAGTGGACGACAGAAAATAGAATTACCGTCGTTTGAATCGATATACCACGACGGTAATCCTATTTACTCTGTCATAGATCCTACAAAACCATCCATGAAGGCTAAATAATCATGTTTTATTGATTGCAGTTTAAAAAGGGCAAAGATCAAGCACCATACCCCCAAGAAGCCATTGAAGAAGTGAGGAAAGAATGGGCATATTTTGTTTGCCTTCATATGGAGTATAGGATTTTTACATACAATAATGAAAAATGTACATATTTTTTTTTAGAATAGACAATTTTTTGTACAGGGTTTAGGGTATAATGTTTTTTTTTTGGCTGTCAATAAAAATTGGTTTTTAGTTTTTAAAACTAAAGTAATTCCTTAAACCATCGTCTGAAGAGCTTTCCAACGACATGATAGTTTCAACAACAGTCGTCCTATGAAACTTGAAAATAAACAAATGACATGTAAACTTCCATAACACGACGGTGTATTTTAAAAGACAATAAACGACGTTGCTAACACAAAAAAAGAGCCATGCAAGGAAATACCACGTCGATAACTTTATAACAGATGACGTCTTATGCAATTTCAACGGCCTTCCTTTTTAAAAACCATCGTATGGTCAACTTATGAAATTTCAAATGCATTTTGAAATACTTACAACGACGTTATTTTATTTCAGCGACGTCTATATTCCTGACGTCTTACATTATATTTAGTGGCAGTTTTGACTTATTTTCTGACTTTTGAACATTACTACAACGTTGGTTTATTTATATAAAAACAGGTTGTGTGACGTCTATTCTCTTTACCCCGTCAGTTAATATCATAGACGTACGACGTAGGAGTATCAAAACAACGTCCAAATCTTGTGACATCGTACATTCTTTACAACATCGGTATCTATATAAATACCGAAGTTTAACATGCATACAACGTCGGTATCTGGATTTAAAACCAACGTGGTTTGTTGTGTTTATAACAATTTTTTATTGACCATAATTCATAATATTCATAATAAATTTGTAAAATTTCCAAAAAATACACCACAACTCCTATGCAGTCATTAAGATATTTTCTTTGTCCTAAAGCTTTCAAAAATGTAATTTGAGTTATAAAAATGAAAAATGTCCACATAAACAAATAAATCACAACGTCCCTTGTAGTTTCTTCAAACAATCATATGGCTTACGTCATTCATTGGTGGGGATATATATATATATATTTTAATACTGGTTTTAGCAATCTAATTTAGACGGCATTGTCGTAAGGAGTCCGTAGCAATTTTCGGTTTATTTTTCTCAAACATTTATATTTTTGTACAAATTTTTTTAAAAAATATATTATTATTTAGGGTTTAGGGGTTTAGGTATTTAGGGTTTAGGGTTTAGTATATGACCACCCAAACCCTAAACCTTTTTTACAATTTTGTTTTACAAATTTATAATTTAATGTTTAGGGTTTAATATATGACGCCCGTGTTGTAATTTTTTTTTTTCTGTCCCTTGCGCACACGCGTTCGAATCCCAGCAAAACCAAATCCCAGGAATATTATTTAGTTCCTTCAACGTCGGTTTTATGTTTTACTGTCGTCTTACTGCACGACGTCCTATTTCTTATATTAACCAACGTGTTTGTAACGACGGTTTTCTATTATTTCCGTCGATGTTTGAAGAAGCGCGCTTTCTAAAAATTTGGTAGCGACCTAAAATTTTCAGATTTCGCTCTAAGTCTACATTTTGCTATTTCACTTCAACTCTAATCCAAGGAGGCCATAATATGTGAGCTCTGCCTGCCTGTAAGTACAAACCCTAATATCATGCTTCTTAATTCATTTATTGATATTCAGTTATGGGTTCTAAAGTACAAACAAATAGGGTTTAGGGAATGGCTTTAGATATATGTTTAGAGTTTAGAAGATTATTCTGAAATCATAGACTGCATTGTTGGGTTTTAGATATATGTTTTGTGATCTTTTAATGTTTTCGTAGGTATGTTCTTCATCAATCTCTGTTGTTATGAATAGGGAATGACTTTAATATTTGCATGCCTTTCATAAAATTCAATGTTATGGGTTGTTAACATATGTTGGGTTCTTGGAAATGGTCTGAATAAAAGAAGATTTAGCCTCCTTTTCTTTAAGAGTTTGACTACGGTTTTTCGTAAAAACCGTCGTCTTTATTTCATTTACAAGGCGGTGTTTATTTAACTACCGTCGTATGTAATTGTATTGTTGTTTTCAGAATCACTGTTTACTAGCTTACAACGTTGGTTTTTTCAAGAACCGTCGTCTATATAAATATAAAACGTCAGATGTTTTTAAAAAATCCGTTTAAATTACTTTTTATCAAAGTAATTATAATCTTCTATAGTGATGGTCATTGCTTGTCTTTTCACCTTATTATAAATAATAAGGTATTTTTTCGGAGATGGATAAGTCATGGATGCACGAGGATAGAAGATCGAAGGCATATGAGTTAGGGGTGGAAGCATTTTTGAAATTTTCAACAGAAAATCTTCTAACCACAACACTTATTCACTGTCCATGTGTTAAATGTGAGAATGTTCAATTGTTTGGTGTTGGAATTATAAGGGACCACTTATACTTTAATGGAGTTGACCAAAGTTATAAGAATTGGACATTTCATGGAGAACCTTGGCAAGCAACTACTAATGCTAGTAGAAATGTGGAAGAAGATGATGAACATAGTAGGTACAGTTTTGTGTTTGAAGAAATAGAGATGGATGATAATGATTTAGGCAGTTTTGGATATGATCCTTATGAGTTTGCCAATATGATTGGCGATGGAGATCAACCCTTGTACCCTTGTTGTAATAAGTACACCAAGTTGTCGGAATTAGTGAAGTTATATAATTTGAAGGCAAAACATGGGATGAGTGATGTCTGTTTTACAGAATTGTTGATACTTCAAGGAGAATTGCTTCCAGAAGGAAATACAATACATTCCTCTATGTATGAGGCAAAAAAGACTTTGTGTGCATTGGGGCTGAGTTATGAGAAAGCCCATGCATGCCCCAATAATTGCATCTTGTATAAGGAGTATGAACATTCAACTTATTGTCCTACTTATGGAATCTCAAGATGGAAGGAAGGCAAATATTCAATCTTGAAATAGGGTGTCCAAGCAAAGGTAGTGTGGTGTTTTCCACCAATTCCAAGATTTAAAAGGATGTTTCAATCACGTAAGACAACTAAGAGTTTGACTTGGCATCCTGATAGAAAAGCAATTGAAGGTCAAATGTCTCATCTGGCGGATTCTCCCTCTTAGGAACTCGTTGATGATAAATTGCCTGAGTTTGGTAATGAGCCGAGAAACTTGAGATTGGCTCTCTCATTTGATGGATTCAATCCCTACAGTTCTCTAAGTACCAGATACAGTTGCTGGCCAGTTATCTTAGTTACATATAATCTCCTACCATTGCTATGCATGAAACGAAAGTTCATGATGTTAACCTTATTGATTTCCGGTCCGAAACAACCCAGAAATGATATAGAAATCTACTTAGAGCCTTTGATTGATGATTTAAAATCTTTGTAGGATGGGATTAAAGGAGTGTATGATGCTCATATAGGAGAATACTTTACACTTAGAGCTGCATTACTGTGGACAATTAATGATTTTCTCACTTATGGAAACTTATCTGGTTGTATCGTAAAAGGATATAAAGCTTGTCCAATATGTGGTGATGATACACCCAGTCACAGGTTGAAAAATGGCCATAAAATATGTTACATCGGGTATAGAAAATGGTTACCAATATATCATCCATATCAGAGGCAACGTGCAGCTTTTAATGGGAAACCTGAATATGACATGCCTCCAAAGCCATTAACTGGAGAAGAAGTGTTACAAATGATTGAATGTATTAATTATAAATGGGTCTCGAAAAAAATGGGAGGTGGAAGTGAAAATGATGGTGACAGAGTCTGTTGGAAGAAGAAGTCAAAATTCTTTGATCTCAAGTATTGGAAATACCTTCCTGTGAGGCATGCCCTTGATGTTATGCATATCGAGAAAAATGTTTGCGATAATATCATTGGTACGTTGTTGGAGATCCCTGGAAAAAATAAAGATGGGATTGCTGCTCATTTGGATTTATTGAACATGGGAGTCAAGAATGATTTGCAACCTGAGTATGGAGAAAGACGTACTCGATTGCCTACAGGGCCCTGGAATTTGTCCAGAGCAGAGAAGAGAGCGTTTTGCAATTCTTTCTATGGTATGAAGGTCCCTGAAGGTTATTCTTCAAATATTAAAAATCTTGTATCTTTACAAGATTCAAGACTTCTTGGGCTTAAATCACATGATTATCATACCTTGATGCAACAATTGCTCCATGTGGCAATTCGTTCTATCCTAGAGAAGCCTGCAAGGTATGCAATAACTCGATTATGCTTCTTCTTCAATGTTATATGTGCAAAGACGGTAGATGTTTCCAAGCTAGATAAGTTGGAAGAAGATGTAGTAGTAACTTTGTGTTTGCTTGCCAAGTACTTTCCCCCTACATTCTTCGATATCATGGTTCATCTAGTAGTACAACTTGTCAGAAAAGTTCATCTATGTGAGCCAGTTTATTTTAAATGGATGTATCTGTTCAAAAGATATATGAAAGTGCTAAAAGGGTATGTTTAGAACCGTAATCATCCTGAAGGTTGCATTGTTGAGCAGTATATAACTGAAGAAGTTGGAGAGTTTTGCACCGAACATTTATCTGATATTAGTACAGTTGGAGTGCCATCAAGCAAGAAGATGAGACTTTCAAAGCCCTTATCAGGTTGCACAGTGAGTTTAGTTGATCGGGACTTGTTGAATCAGGCACATCTATATGTCTTGGAGAATACGGAGGAAGTTCTACCTTATATCGAGTATGAAGTAGTCATTTTAAATTATATTCCTTATGTTTATCTGATATTTTTGGCACTGTAATACTTGAATTTTTCGTGTTATGTAGAGAACATACGATCCACATCAAGACCACTTATCCAAAATTTAGAAAGAGAACAAAGTGGCTACAAGATAAGCACAATACCACTTTCATTCAATGGCTACGCTTTAAGGTATATGAAATTGAATAACATATTGCACTTTTAATTTTCTTCTTTTTATGTTAGATTGAATTAAGATATGATTCATTTGCAGGTTCAAATTCAACTTAATGGGGAAGACAATAATGGTGTATCAGAAAATTTGAGGTGGCTAGCAGCTGATCCAAGCATGGCAGTGCCATCATATAGGAGCTATCTTATCAAAGGTATTAAATTTAACACCAAGACACAAGATGATGTGCGTGCAGTTCAAAATAGTGGAGTTTATTTTCTTGCACATACTATGCAAGTTGCTAGTGTCAAAGATAAGAACCCAATTATCTTAAATATAGGTTTTTATGGTGTCATTCAAGATATTTGGGACCTTGATTACCAAAAGTTTACAATCATAGTCTTTCGGTGTGATTGGATAGATAGCACTTCTGGCCTTGTAGTCGATGAACTTGGATTTACCCTTGTAGATTTGAGTAAAATTGGACATGTGAATAACCAATTTGTTAAAGTCAAACAAGTATTTTTGGTTGACGACCCAATGCATCATGGTTGGTCAGTAGTGTTATCAATGCCTAATAGAGAATATAATGATGTTATTGGTGATGATGTCTTAGGTGATGTGAGAATTGAGTGTGAGACATTTACTAGAGGGATGCCAAATGTTGACACATTGATGAACTAGCCGGTGAGTCTGGGAGTCAAAATATTTGAGATGGGTGTGAAGATATATGGATTGAATGATGCTTGTAATTTATGACATTACTTATGCCCTAAATGGCTGTGTATGACATTAATTTTGTAAGAAATTTTATTGCATTTTTTTCACTTTCATTATACAGGGTTTGGGCTCAAAGCTTTTAGTACAAAAAAATTTGGTTCAAGTACCAAAATACGACGGTCATGTTAACATTATTGCAAAAAGCAGACGTCATAATAGTAGCAGACATCGTTTTTTATCATACGTCATGCAATGGAAGACCTTAAAACCTATATATAAAAAAATAAAAAAATAAACAAAGATAAAAATGCTAAAGACGTCAGTTCTAAAAAATTGACATTAAAAATGTCGTACATCTCCAATGAGACGGCCTCGATGTACTTCCCGCCATCTAAAACATAACTCAAAAGACTGCACATAATAATAGAACAACGACAGTAATGAAAAGCCGTTGTTACAGGATATCACGACGGGAAGGCCCAAAGAGACGACATTTAAAAGAGGATAAAACGACCTCGTAACATATATATCGTCGTCTTACTGCACAACCACGATGATACACTCTTATTACGAAACATCTTAACAATATACCACGTCAATTTATGTCTTTAGGACTTGGTGAGTAAATGAATTACATCGTCTTTAGAAATAAAAAAGACGTAGAACAAAGTCACCACGTCGCATTTTATATGCTTAGCGACGTTTATATCACTACATACGACACCTTTTTACAGTAACTGACGTTGTAAGTTCTTTTCACCCTCAGCATTTAAAATAAAGGAGACGTAAAAACCTTGTTCTTCCCATATTTACTGGCGCCATTAATTGTTTTCACATCTCCCTAGTGACCATGTGTCATGCAATATTACAGACAAATGTCGTTTGTAAAATCAAAGATGACGTGGTACACAGTAACCACGTCGTTGTTGATAGGTTATGCGACGTTTGTATCATGACATACAACACGGTGTTTATAATAACCGACGTTGTAAATCATATTTCACCATCAGAGTTTAAAGTAAAAGAGATGTATGAACCTGTTTATTCCCATATTTACTGACGTCGTTAACAGTTTTCACGTCTACTTGGTGACCATGTGTCGTGAAATGCATTATAACAACGTCTCCTATGGAAACAAAGGTGTTGTGGTATGTTTTCCTAACGTCGTCGCTAATATACTAATAGACGTGTGTATGTCTTTTAATATATCAACTTCTGAGTTAAGACTGACGGTGTACAACATTTGCAACGTCATATCTGGAAACAAAAGTGACGTAATATATCATCATGTGTCTTGGAATGTCTTAATCAACGGCGTGCAATTAATTTTTTTATGATGGGGTGGCTTTTTTTTAGGCGATATTTTACTAAACAACGTCATGTTTTTTTTTATTTAGACGACGGTTGTTTCCCAAATTGAGTCGTTTACACGTTCACTATTAGTTATTTTGGTGGTCATTTTCTTTACTTTTACGTCGACTTTTATTAATTTTGACATTGTTTCCCAATGAACAACGTCTCCTTTTTACTGTCATGGTTTTGTTTTTAAAAAGATGTCGGTCGATTTCACAAGGGTTAGAAAACTTGCTAGACGACAGTGAATTCCCGTAGTCTATTGCCCTTTTTGTAGTATAGCATGATAACAACGGCCTCATTGAAAACTTTCCAGAGAAAACAAAAGTCTGAGGTAGGAAAAAATACCACCCATGCCAATGACTAAACAAAAGAGTCAAACAACTAATACAAAACAAACAATTAGAACTCAACCACAAAACCCTTAAAACACAACCCATCACTACGATGGTACTATCAAATTGTTATAAATTAAAATAATAGATGAATGATTAACCACTAAATGTAGGGCATTGTTAATCAAATAATTAAATGATCTTCAATTTGGTTAATTGTTTTTTACATGAATAATTCTTGAAGGATGACATTGAAAATAAATAATTCCAATTACCAAATAACATTGTAAGATGAAAAGAAAAAGTGGATACAAGATCTAATATATTCAGAGGATAAACAAAATCGTATCTTGGAGTGTACTGGATGATGTTCACGGGTGTTCCTAAGAAGGCCATATTGGTCATCTTGTGTTCCAAAAAATAAAAAAACTAATTAAGAATGCATAAAATAACAAATATTGAACATGCACCTTAGGCCTCCCAAATTTGTTGTGGAATCTCGAGCACTACCAGCTAATTCTAGGCCAGCCTTGCTTCACATGCTGCTCCTCACACTATGAATATCAGGCCAAGAATAGGATCATTCACATTGCACCCTATAAATACCACTTTGACAGTCTTAACCATCGCAACAAAAGAAAAGAAAAAAGGCTTCTCATATTTTAATTAATAGTACTAAATAGTGAAGTTAGAGAGAGAGAGATATATATATATATATATATATATCTATGGATTCCAAGAGATGTTCAGCCCTTGCTCTCTTCCTCTCTATCAACCTTCTCTTTTGTGTCCTTGCCAATGGCTGCTACACTTGCTCTTGGCAGCCTCATCAGCCAATCACAGCCCCTAAAACAAACCCTATCCCCAGCGTAGCGACGAAGAGCTGCCCAAGAGATGCCCTAAAGTTGGGGGTTTGTGCCAATTTGCTTAAAGGGGCAGTTGGAGCAATAATCGGGAACCCGCCAGATACCCCTTGCTGTGCTTTGCTTGAAGGGCTTCTTGACCTTGAAGTTGCTGTGTGCCTTTGCACTGCCATTAAAGCCAATATCCTTGGTATCAACCTTAATATCCCCATTGCTTTGAGCTTGGTCATTGATGGTTGCGCAAAGACATTCCCCCCTGGCTTCCAATGCGCATAAGCTGTTACATTGTTTTGAATCTGTATGTCTCATGTGTGAGGCAAAACTTCGTAGCTTGATTTCTTTCTTTGTGTTTGGCTAGACGTTATTTTTCATGTGCCAAGTGTTCAATGACTCTTTTATTGGGTTTACACACTTCCCATTTTAATTCCCTAATGGCATGCATCAACTTGAAATTGACTTCAATGTATTATGTTTAATTTGAAATTGAAACTACATTTTGTAGGTTATAATACATTGGCCCCCAAACTTAAAATCCTAGCTCTTTCCTTTAGATGTAGCACATGTCAAATGTAATAACACACGACATATAGAACCATTAAATTTAAACAAAAGGGCTAAAACCAAACATAATTGAAGTGTTGAGTAGAAAATAATAAATTTCCACTTCCAAAACTTGAGCAACCCGTGAATATCCAACCCCCAATCATTCCTTCTTCCTCAGTATTTGGGTTTCACTGGTTTTGTTTTGGTGGTTTTGGTGGCTCCATTAGTGGTTCTTAGCTCTTCCACAATGGGTGCAACTTGCATCCACCGGTTTCGAAACAACATGTTTTTTTATTTGTTTTTGCTGTTCATGTATGGTACTATTTCGCATTAGAAAAGAGAAAAAAAGGCAAGGAGACGACAAGAATTCTCTGCATGATGTAGGAAGGAAGGTGGTGATTAAAGAGAAAAGTTCGATCTAAAGCTAATGTGAACTTGCTGACTTGTACTCAGATTGGAAATGCTTTCATATCATATTGATATATAATTTGATGTTGTAGTTGTAGTTGTCGAGAGAGAGAGAGAGAGAGAGGTGGCACGTGCGAACCTGTAAAGAAGAGCATTTCTATCACGAGTTGGAATCTACACAGAGTATGTATTTGTAATCCAACCACGGGCAAGTTTAGAGAATAAGTTTCAAACTGGAGAATAAGTTTCAAACTGACAAATTTGCAAAATTCACAAAGATAGGAAACGACAGTATTTTATTTGTAATGCACAGTATTTTATGCCTATAATGAGTTTTATGAATGTAGTTGCTCTTTTTTGTTGTTGTCCTTGTTGTGGGAGAGATGCTTTATTAAAAAATAATAAGTACTATTGAGACCTGTTTGGTAGGCTAGACTGGATTGGATTGGATTAACCTTTCTACATTACACTGGACTGGTTGAGATATGACTGAATTTTAAGAAGTTGTTTGGTGCAATACAAGGATAGGAAACCACAATATTTTATTTGTAATGCACAGTATTTTATGCCTATAATGAGTTTTATGAATGTAGTTGCTCTTTTTTGTTGTTGTCGTCATGGGAGAGATGCTTTATTAAAAAATAATAAGTATGATTAAGCCCTATTTGGTAGGCTAGATTGGATTTGATTGGATTAACCTTTCTACATTACACTAGACTGGTTGGGATATGACTGGATTTTAAGAAGTTGTTTGCTGCAATACAACACCAAAGTTGAGATTAGTATGCTTTTTTATATTCATTTCAAATTTCAACAAATTAATTATATCAAAATCAATTACAAAAAAAAAAAAAAAAAAAAAAAAAAATAAGTCGTCATCTTCAGACTTCTTCCTCTCAGCTACCTCCCTTCATATCCCAAGAAAAAAAAAATTGCCACAAAAATTGAAAATTGAAAAATATATATAAATAAAGAGGAAGAAGATATGAATATGCCTTTCGTCCAAAATTTGAGATCTAGATATGGCAGCATAAAAGATATGGCAGGGGAGAAGAATCAGTGGATCTGAGATAAGAGAGAAGAGGAGAAGAGAAGATGGGAAGAGAGAGAGAAGAAGAGAGAACAAAGAAGTGAGAGAGGAGAGAGAAGAGAGCATAGAGAAGAAAGAGAAGAAGAGAAGAGAAGAAGGGAAGAGAGAGAAGAAGAGGGATGGATGGCGGCGTGCTCTCTGGCTTCAAAATCCACGTATGGAGTTGGGTTTCTGAGCCCCAATTATTTGGGACTTAGATCCAAGGCTCATATCTAGTCCTAGACACACTTTAAGCCCACCAAATAATGGTTAGGAATTATGTCCATATTAATTGAAAATATCCAGTCCAATTCAGTCTACCAAACGGGGCCCAAGAGCATGTCTAAGGGGCAAGAGGCAAGGGATTAGGTGCTTGTTTTAGCCTCTAAAAATGGTACTATTCACAAAAAGCCTCTCAAATTTTTTGTGGTTCTAGTGGTGGTGAAGGACAAAAGGCTAAAACTCAAAATTTGTTATTTTAAGTTATTATTATTTTATTTGTTATAAAAAAATCAAAGCATAAGAAAAGCAACACGAAAATTTATCTTCGAAAACAATTTTGAAGGGCTTGGAGTATATAGAAAAAGCAACACGAAAAGAATAAACAAGTAAAAAGGGTTTGTAGTATATAAAAAAAGGCTTAACTAATCGTTGAAAACTAGGAAAAAAAGAAAACCAAATAGCCCAGCAACTAGCCGTTAAAGAAAAACTAAAAAAAAAAAAAAAACTAAACCGCCCAACAACTAGCCGTTAGGCAATTGTTATTGAAGGCGCCATATGGAAGATCCTCATAGGCCAAAACAGTTGGAAAATTAGCTTTTGCTGCGCAACCTCTTTTTTATCAAAAAACTAACCGTGGCACCTACTCTTGCCCAGGCGAGCCATTTGGGCAAAAACTAACCCCATATCTTACCTTAGGCCAAACACATGTATTAGGAAGTGTTTTGTTTTTGTTCATTAGAGGTTAGATAAGTCCCATTAGACTTGCTCTAAGAGGGTAGAAAAGATAAAACTGAAAAAGAGCCAATACTATTCAAAACCCAAATATGAGAAACATGAACAAATACGTAATTTTAAAAAAAGACTCACAGCTTGCTCATGAACAACTCAAAAAGAAACAACAACAACAAAAGAAAAAAAAAAAGGAAGCCTGAACATTCCTCCGATCTGTACATCAACAAAACCTTGGCATAACCATTCAGCAACAAAATCGATGATCCACAACAACCACTGGACCAAAAAAGAGAAGTAGAGAGAAACGAACGCGAAAAATCAAAATCCTAAAAGCTCCTCAATTACCCTAGCAATTAGCAAAGCAATAAAGGAACACTGAAATTTTCAGCTAGACAAATCCATTCACTATAAGAAAAAACAATTAATAGTCACAGACATCTATGACACATGATGAGATAGCAAGCATTATCGATGTCTAATAATTATTTGTGTTCATTGTGCTACTACGAACTAATAGTTATCCCATTCTGTGGCACGGAGATCAGTAGCTCCCCTAATTACTTTCTTGTACAATTTGTTTTTTTTTCCTATCCCAATTTGAGATGGACAAGTCCTTTCTTCATAAGATGTAGGCCAATGGACGAACATCTTAAGCCCACAGGCCATTAGCAACCATATCTTTCAAGAGAGACCCATACACAAAAGCTCATAAAAATTTGCTTTTCAGGCTAGTGTGGGCCCATGCGGATGTGTCACGCTTTCATGGACAACTCAAGATGGGACCACGTGTTGTTGGACTCCAAGATGATCTAACATGTAGACCACGCGCGCCACGTTCGCACTGCTACAACTAATCCATGGATATCCTTGATACATACTTAATCTACATGGAATTTATAAATGCATGCAGCGCCAACCCCTCTTTGTCCTCCTGATATAATACGAACTGACTTCACATTCTTCGAATCTACGAAGGCACAAAGAGGTGCAGCTAATTGATCATTATTTTTAATCTTTTTATCGCAGAAAAATTTCCCAATATAAGTCATATATATTCAAGCATGCCAAAATTAAATATATCATCTGTGCTTCAGATTGAGGACAAAGGGACACAGATTAAATTCAATATTCCAACATTATTATCATGATATCATCACAACTGATAGAATATACTTTATATATTAATTATAGTACATATGAGCCTGCATTTTCTGGTATCTACTCACTCAATTTTACTACTAACCATAAAATGCTAATGAAGTCTTAATCATGTAGATTAATTAGGTACATGCCTCTCATCGTATCCATTGAGCGTACAAATTCTAAATCGAAGTACAAGATTTCGGACCTCTCCACGCATTTCCAGTTAGTTAGGTTTTGAAACTCTGGATGCTCTAATTGTATCAATGTTAAGGCATCCCCTGTTATTTTTACTACATGTTAACCACATATAAATCTTGTAGTTAAATTAAGTCAATCGTCTAGACCATAATGACGTTAGAATTTCAACCTGGCCCCGATCCATCCATGGAGGTCGAATTATGTGAACCACGTTTTCTCTGGGTTTGCACATCACAGATATGACAAAGTGCAGGCCCAATTTTGTATACATTTTGACATGTTTGACTCCCATGATAATAATAATTCTCAATAATAAATAAATAAAAAGCAACATGATGATCGCACACTTGGCAAAAATAAAAAATAAAAAATTAAATTGGTCCTAATGGGTGTCATTTAAAAGCCATGCTTTCATGTAACCCTACACAAAAAAACACAGGACGACCTTAAAACTTTTTTCCACAAAATAATTATAAATCATCTAGTAGGCCTACCAACTCACAGTTATCTGACACGTGGGTTGTCTCCTCCTTTTTTTTAAATTACTTTAATTCTCTCTCTTCCATTATGCATGATAGATATTGCATAAAATAAAAAATAAAAAAAATATATTGTATAGTCATCCAGCGAGAAGACCATGCAGCCAATCAGTGCATAAATACAATTAATTGTTAATCCAGCATATGTCATAATTGAGCCACTAAGTGTCTGGTTGATTGGCTCTTGGAGCACACGAAAGTATATCGAATTTTGAGATCCTATTTGACACCATATATCTGGTCATGATTCTACATCATTATAATTTATTAGATATTTGTACCATCCCATTCTCGTTTAGGATTTTTTTTTCCCGCTTTTGTATAATTATTTTTAATAGGAATGAAATTCACTTGCAAGTGGTTTGCAGCTCAAGCAGTTAAGAGTATTTATTCATACATTGAAGTCCTAGGTTCGATTCTTCTCTCCTTCAATATCGCTTATTTTAAATAAATAAACACAAATTGAAACTGCCTTATATAAGTTATGTGATGCCTTCTCGTTTAATAGAGGTGAGGTTCGCTTATATCCAATGTTGACCATATGTAAATGATAATAAAAATTCCATAATTTGAATTTAGATATAAGATCATATGGTCGGTATCCGATCCACATAAAGCTAAGCAAAATTTGTTTATAAAATTTGTCTTTAAAGTTGGGGATGGACTGGTTTCACAACAATTCTTGCCCTTCACTATTCTCTGAGGCTCTGAATTAAGAAGAAAGAACAGATAAGAATATAATAATGGAAGGTTTATTAAGTTCAATGATTACTGTAAGCTTTCTTTTTCTGATGTCAATTCAGTGGATTTGAATTGTAGGCTGGTAGTTGGAGTTGGGCTCCATTCTTTCAAATCTGTGGTGCATTCCTCAGTTCCCAGTTCCCAGTTTCAAATTTCAATTAAATATCTTATTGACTTCTTTTAAAATCATGATTGTATCCTAACCAAGATTATACCCATGTTAATCTTCCTATTTTTTCATTAAAATGATAGCAGAGCGATATTCTAAACTATTATAATGAACGAAAAAGTGGTTCAAAGTCGGGTGTAAAGGGGCAAGCATGCTGCCTTGAGCAAAATCTGGGTGTCATTTAATTTTTAGTATTATTGCTATTGAAATGATGAAGTATGTGACCTAAATCTGTGGCCAAAACTTTGATTCTGTTTTATGAGTTGGCTCCCTCCCAGAAACCCCGGGACAACTGGAAGAACGTGGGAAAGAAAAGAACTACAGCGTTAACCCAACAACTGGAGGACAGAAACTCATTAAGCTAAACTAAAAGTAACCAATGGCCAAGAACAAACCAAAAGAAGCAAACACAAACTAAAGCTAAACCATAATTGAAATCCAAACATAACACTCGACGTAAAAATCCAGAACAAATCAAAATCATCCCTTTTATAAAAAAAATTTAAGATTCAGCAGACCAAGTCCTAACTCATAAACTATTGTTTTATGATGGATATACAAAAGTGACAATATATATATATATATGTAGGGTGTAGAACCAGAAGGGGTTAGCATATATAGTGATAAAGCAGACATAGTAGAAAAGCCGCAGTTTATGCATAAATCTTATAAATGAAAAAACAAATATTGAATGTATGAACATAATGATATATTGTAAAATACTCAAAATACTTTATTGAAACATAGACTTATGAGAACGTTGGCTTACAAAGATAGCTCCTAGTTTTGCTCACGCTCAGCTGTTCTTCATATCATTGTTTCTAAAAGAACAATTTAAAACTAAGAAACTAAATTTTTCATTCTGCTTACAAATGAGGCAGAAGCCTCCTTAAATAGAGAAAATCTGAACCTTAGTAAACTAAAAAGTAACTCTAGTAAAGTAACTCAGGTGTCTTTCTCATGATCACGAGCAAGGAACTGTATGGCTTTTGACTTAGGAATCTACTTTTACTCAGGCTCTTTATGCTTTTACTCAGGGGAATCTGCTTTTACTCAGGGGAATTGGCATGTATTGATTCAACTTTCAATTTTGTCTGCTGATAGGGAATCTTAATCTGAATTGAGATCATATGTTGACATGGCTGAAATTGTCTGCTCATAGGCTTCATTGGGGTCCTGACCGTGGGGATAGTCAGACCATCTCAGGGGTTGATCAGGGCTTGGACTTGGGCTTTGCTGGTGGGGCTGGCAACTTGAAGACGATTGGGACTCATTGTCTTCATCATCCTGCATTTGTGAGGCCTGTAGAAGTAGTTGTTTAGCCATATCTTGTAGCTCAGCTTTAGATTTACCTTCAACAGAGAGATTTGTCTGGGAAGAATGTGAAGAAGTGGATTCAGGCTCATGTTTAGGGAAGTCATGCTTAGGAAAATCTCTGTAGATGTATTCAACAATTCGATGGACCTCAAAACGATCCCACCATTTAACATAAAATTGTCGGGAAAAAATTCGGGTTTCCCAGTTGACATTGTAAGACCATTTCATAATCCAAGGAATTTTGTAACGAGTAAAGAAAAGTAGGGGAATAGGAAAGAATAAATCACGCTCAGGGAGTTTAGTTTTGGAAGAGAAATAAGTAATTAGCTCAGTGATTTGGGGAGGCATAATGTCTGATTTGGGGCCATGTGTATCCCACCAGTGGAGAAACCAGTAGGGAAGCTCACTGCGAAATTTACTGTCAAAATTGATGAACCATGAATGTGTAAAGTTAGGAGTTTGATGTAGGAAGATGTAATACCAAGACTCAACATAGTCAGCATAATTATATTGTAGTTTAGATGGAAGAGTTCTTAGCTCATAAGGGTGTGCACCCTAACTCTTCTGACTCAGGACCTGATAGATGTAGAGGGAATGGTAGATGATTTTTTGGGGATCAGTCTTATCACAGATTGGTTTAATATCAACAGATTTAGTCTCATGAAGTATTTCTCTGTAAAATTTAAGAGACTTGTATGGACTATGTGGAAGATAATGAAAAACCAGGAGGAAAGTGGTTCTGGGGAATCATTGCAGGGCTCATAGATACAGAAACATGGGGCTCAAGAATAAAGAGGTTGGCATTACTCCTAAAAATATAGGGGGAAGTCTTAGGATAAAAGGTAGAAGAGGAAAGAGGGGTTGCAGTAGGGGGCAACTGAAAGGGATCATAACTAGATGTAAGTGCAGATTGATAATTGGGTCTCATTTGGCTCAGTGTAGATCCTAAGGGACTAAAACGATTAACAACTGGGATAGGAGAAAGACTAGGGTAAGGAGTAATCATAAACTCAGATTTAGGAAAGGAAGTAGAGCTAGGCTCATTTTTTAAGGATTTTTGGCTCAAGGAGGCAGGGAGGATTCTGGGTAATTGGGGAGTTTGGCTGTAATTTTCTTTGTGCTTATCTTTTTCTTTTCTTCCGGCCATTGCTTATCCTGTAAAAATTCTCTGGTAAGAAAATCAGGAACATAATTCTCACTTCCTTTTAAAAATTCAATGTCATCAAATATGCTTAAAAGTGCTTGCCATCGTGCAAAAATCTGTTTTGATACAATATTTTGAACATCTTTTTCTAATACATGCTTAGCAGATTTACAATCAACGCGTACTAAAAATTTTTGATTTAATAAATCATCTTGAAATTTAGTAATACATAATACTATAGCTAGTATTTCTTTTTTAATAGTACTATAATTAGATTGCGACTTAGACCAAATGCCAGAGTGAAATCGAACTATTTGCTCGGGAGAAGTAGAGGAAGTTGTTTGTTTAAGAATACCACCATAACCTATGTCAGAAGCATCAATCTCAACAATCTTAAAAGAGTTTGTAGTTGGAATGCCAAGGCAAGGAAGTGTCCTAACATGACTCTTAATTTGCTTAACGATCTCAGTATGGATAGATGACCAAGGAGGAGGGTTAGTCTGTAATCTATCATATAAAGGCTTACATTGCTTTCGTAGGTTTTTGTAAAAGTCAGAAACATAATTAAGGGATCCTAAAAATCTCTGTAATTGATTCTTATCAATTATTTGATCAGGAAATTTATCTGCAAATTGTATGGCTCTATCTATAGGATGTATTTGGGATTGACTAATATTAAATCCAAGAAATCTAACATGAGTTTGAAATAGCTTAATTTTCTTAGCAGAGACGACTAATCCATTAGCTTTTATTATTTGTAGGAATTTATGCAAATGTTTCCAATGCTGTTCTATGGACTCATAAAATATAAGAACATCATCAATGTAAACTATGGAAAATTGACTATATGAATTAAAAATCTCATTCATTATATTCTGGAATTCACTAGGAGCATTTTTAAGACAAAAAGGCATCACATTCCATTCATAATGACCAAAAGGAGTAACAAAAGCAGTCTTATATCTGTCAGCTTCAGTAATTTGTATTTGCCAAAAACCACTTTTTAAATCAAATTTAGAAAAGATGACAGCTTTGCTCAGGCGATTGATTAGATCTCTTTTATTGGGGAATAGGGTATCTAATCCATTCTAAAACAGTATTGAGGGGCTTGTAATTAATAACTAATCTTGGCGATCCTCTTTCTATCTCAGCATTTTTTTGTACATAAAAAGCAGGGCAAGACCATGGTGACTTACTACGTCTAATTATATTTTTTTGTAATAATTCATCAATCTCATTTTTACAAAATTCTACTATTTCCTGACTCATCTGTATGGACAGGCTTTAGTAGGTATATTTTTCTCAGAAAAATTCTTTATATAAGGCAGGCTTACAACATGTTGTTTCTATGCCAAAAAGCAGTGGGTAAATCAGAACATATCTCAGCAATTAATTTTTTCTCAAAATCCTGAATTTGTTTTTGCAAACAAGGGGTGTGTAATTGGGATTCAATTCGTTTAGATTTTACTTCATCCTGTAAATGTCTAATTTGGTTAGTTTTGTCATGGATCAAAGAAGCTGTTATAGCAGTAATATTTTTCCTGTAGTTTTAACTTATGTAGTTCAGATCTAGTAAGAAACTCAAACTTAACTTTTTCTCCCAAAGGGCTCGATACTACTCCATCAAATTCAACTTGAAGGGGATAAAGGAGGCTTATGAAGGTAAACTTAAAATGACTTTATCAATTATGTTTTTAATCAAAACAAACGAGGTTTTAAAACAGACTTTATTTTGACAGACATGGGCTCTCAGAATTTCATAATTTAAATGTAGCATTGTGAAACCCCATATTTTTAAATACATATATTAATATTTCATAAAATTAAACATTTACAATTATTAGTCTTCAAAACTATATAATATATCTATAAATATAAATTGTATGGCAAGTTACGTGAAGTTAACTAGTATAGCCTATCAAATGTTTTTGCATGGCTTTAATTATTTCAATTCATTTCAGCATTATTTATTTATTATTATTATATATAGATATATATATATATATATATATATACTTTACAAAAACTGTTAGAAAGACATTTATGCTTACTAAGCATTGTTGAAGACTGACGTGTTGCAATGTAGTGTCCTCAAAACCAATTAAAACATGAGGTGTAAGAATGATAGTTATTCCTATATATATAAACTTGATAGGAGAGTGCTCACTAAGCACTCTACAAAGCCAACACAAAAGGCTATTTGAGAGTCTAGGAACCTATAGACTAATTAGGTGGCACAACATTAAACCGACTCCAGCTTACTATAAATAGGTCTGCTCAATAGTTCTTTGATCATAGGTACTTCAAGTGTGTTAGTCTCCTAAAAAGCTTAGACATAATAAAGAAAGAGTAAAGTGTGGTGAGATTTTGGAAAAAGCTCAACTAGGAAGTGTACAATAAGCTTTGGATTTGAGGTAGGGGTTTTTCTTGGGGAAGTTTTGTTTTGCATACATTGAGTTAATTAAATATTGTAAATACTACATTATGCTTGATAATATTTGATTGTTGTTATGCTTAGTTATATTGTTTGATTGTTATCCTTGATATTAGATATATACATGTTGTCAATTATCATTATAATTGATGAATTTTGACATATTCATATGTTGTCGGTGGTGGTTGGAATTTTGGGTTGATAAAGAAATTATGGAAAAGAGGATAATGGGAAGTATCTTTTGTGTAGTTGAGTCTAACCATTGTAGGGACCAAGTTCAGGCGAGCCCGTGTGCACAGTAGATTAGGAAATCGGCGGTATAATTGTCGATTGGGTGATTTGGGCTTGGAGATCAATGGTGTAGGCAAGATGACTAGCAAAAGGGGAATTATGGGATGATTGAAATGGGTGTTAGTTTATATAATGGGGCATTCGAAATCACAGTGGTAAAATGCATGGTATGGGACATGCAGATTTGCTTGCCCTATTATATAGATTAATGGGTTGGGTAGAATTGAAGTTCATTCATGCATTATATAAATTGTACATTATAAATCTCACTAATCACTTAAGGCATCAGACCCCTACTGAGCATGTAATGCTCACCCCTTATTGAATCTATTGCAGGCTTTGAAACTGAAGTGTAGTTTTTGCTAAGGACAAGAAGAATGGATTATGGATAGTTTGAGTATTTGTTGAAAGTTTGTTACTTTCTGGTTATTTGCTTGTAATAATACAATGTAAATTACTTTGACTTAAATGGAAGTTTACGTTCAATCTTCATGTTCTTGATAATTAAATTTTTAGTTTTAGTTTTGGTTTTTTGTTTTTTTCTTTTACCTCACATTCCCAAATAATAATAATTGGGGTGTGACAAGTTGGTATCAGAGCATTAGGTATACAATCCTATAGAATAGAAGTTATCATTTAAGTTATTTTTTTTAGAAATTAAGATTTAGAAGTATAAAAACTTTTGAGTTTCTAATATACTTTCATTTGTATTTTAGATACTAATATTTTGGTAATGACAGATTCTATGGAATCAATAGAAAGTGACGATACCTTGGAGGTTTCCATGTATGCCCAGAGGGACTGATACCATTAAACCTAGAAAACTATAACAACAACCTGAGGCATGGCGCAAAATTTTGTATGAAAGAGAAGATAAGGAGTACTGCCATAAAGAGACATCATTACCCTCTCCCAATGCAGCGACTGGTAGCAATGCATAGTATCTGGTCAAGGAGAGAATTCTGGGATGGTGCCTATGAGAACATACAGAATGACAATATTTATAATTCTGCAGTAGTAGAACTTTTAGAAGAAAGTGGTAATCAGTGGCCACCATGTAATTACCAACCACAACGGGTCCCAAATCCACCAAGTGATAATGAGGACTTTGCTCAGGAGCCTACTAATGAGCCTACTTGGGAGCCTACTGAGTCAATCGGATCAGTCACTAGGCCTATAGAGGTTCAGTCACCACCCGAAGTGATTATTATCAGTTCGGATGAAGAAAACTAGTACTGAAGAAAGAAAGTTGTATAAATGTTTATAGTTGTAGAAATAAACCATAAGGTTTTGTAAGATAAGTTTAAGTTTTTGTAAAATTGTGTGTACTTTTGTAAATATTTTGTGAAATATAATAAATGAGTGTTTTGTTTATTCTTTCTCTTAAAATTACATTTTACTATTTTATGATATTGTTTTTAGATAATTTCCTTTTTATTCATTTAAGATGGCTGAATCTGGAAATGAGTTCAATGGAAATGCTGGAGTAATCTTAGCCATTCAGGATATGGCTTCAGCAATTAGAGAAAATAGTAACCAAGATCACCGTCATGAAACTGAAGAAGATCGAGTTATGAGGATACAAGGACAATTCCGTAAGACGAAACCAACAATATTTAAAGGTGAACCAAATCATATGGCAGCTGAAGAATGGTTGAGGCAAATTAAGAGAAAGATGGATAATCAAAGAATTCGTGCAGACATTAGAGTTGTTATTGCTTGTACCTATCTGGAAGGACAAGCATACCTTTGGTGGGAGTCAATTCTGAGTATGCCAGATACTGAAATTACAACTTGGGAGGCATTCGAAAGTGTTTTCTTGGAAAAATATTTTCCAAGTACTATGAAAGCAATGAAAGCAAGGGAGTTTGTTAACCTTGTCCAAGGCAACTTAACTGTTGATCAATATCAATCTAAGTTTGAAGAACTCATGCGTTTTGCACCATATATGATCCCTGATGATGCAACAAAAGCAAAACGATTTGAAGAAGGATTGAGACCATCAATTTTGGAAAAGGTTGACATTTTGAAATTAAGCAAGTACGCTGATGTGGTTGATAGAGCACATATAGCAGAGCAAAGACCCGAAACAAAGAGAACTTGGGATTCAAGTAGTGGACAAGTAAATAAACGGACAAGATTTAATACTCCTCAATCACAAGAAAAGTTCGGACCACCACTATGTTATTACTGCAAACAAGTGGGACATGTAAAGAGATTTTGTCCACAACTACAAAGATATCAAGGACCTCAAGTACAACAGACATTATATCGTCCTCCACAAGTACCTTTTCGTGCTCCACCGCCACCTCAAAGTTATACTACTTTTCAACCTCAGTCTAACTGGGCAAGGCCAGTTACTAGTCAATCACCACAACTTCCAGGAGGACAATCTTCCCAAATTAAACCAAGGGTCCCTGCAGCTGGAAAGAAATCTGGACCATTCACACAAGGAAGAGTATATGTTATGGGAAATGTGACATATCAAACTGAGCCTAAGACAATAGAAGGTATGTTTTTGGTATTCAACTCTTGGGCTAAAGTGTTATTTGATTGTGGAGCTACACACTCTTTTATATCCAAATCTTTTGCATCAATGCTTGAGTTAGACTATGAAAATATGAAACCTTCTTTGTTAATTGGATCTCCTTTGGGTGATAGTCTAGAAGTTGATAAAGTATGTAGATCTTGCATGATAGAGATGTCGGGCCATAAAATTGTTATTGATTTGATGGTATTGGAAATGTTGGAATATGATATTATTTTAGGAATGGACTGGCTTACACGTTACCAAGTTACAATTGATTGTGGTAAAAAGAGAATTACCATCAATACTCATAAGGAAGAAACCTTTAGCTTCTTTGTGAAAAAGGAAAGCCAGAAATATGGTGTTGGAAATTATAAATATTTGAGTCAGATAGCTAGAATCGGAACTGAAGAAGTAGAAAAATCTCCAATACAACTTATTCCTGTGGTAAAGGAATTTAGCGATGTTTTTCCAGAAGAATTGCTCGGCTTACCTCCAGAGCGCGAAGTAGAGTTTGCTATAGAAATATACCCAGGTACAACACCTATTTCTATACCTCCTCATCGCATGGCCCCAGCTGAACTGAAAGAACTTAAGATACAACTCCAAGAATTACAAGCAAAAGGATATATCTGTCCTAGTACTTCACCATGGGGTGCACCTGCTCTCTTTGTGAAAAAGAAAGATTTAACTCTTCGAATGTGTATCGATTATCGTCAATTAAATAGGGTCACCATAAAGAACAAATATCCTTTACCTAGAATTGACGATTTATTCGATCAGTTAAGAGGTTCTCATTTCTTTTCAAAAATTGATCTTCGATCTGGCTATCACCAACTTCGAGTTAAAGCTGAAGATATACCCAAAACAGCTTTTCGAACTCGATATGGGCATTATGAATTTGTAGTTATGCCTTTTGGATTGACAAATGCACCAGCAGCATTTATGGATATGATGAACCGAATTTTCCGACCTTATTTAGATCAGTTTGTCATCGTATTCATTGATGATAATCTAATATATTCCAAATCTCACGAAGAACATGAGGAACATTTGCGAATCGTTTTACAAACATTAAGAGAAAATCAATTGTATGCAAAGTTGAATAAGTGTGAATTCTGGTTGAGACAAGTAAAGTTTTTAGGACATGTAATTTCCAATGAAGGTATTTCAGTTGATTCTTCCAAAGTTGAGGCAGTGTTGAATTGGAGTCAGCCAAAGAATATCTCGGAGATACGTAGTTTCCTTGGATTAGCTGGCTATTATAGGAGATTTATCAAGGATTTTTCTCGAATAGCTGCACCAATGACCAAGCTGACCCAGAAAGGAGTGAAATTCATATGGACTCAAGAATGTGAAAAGTTATTCCAAGAATTGAAAACTCGATTGACTACCGCACCAATACTGATTATTCCTGAACGGGACCTAGGGTATGTGGTTTACACTGATGCATCTAAACAAGGGCTAGGATGTGTTTTGATGCAATTTGACAGAGTAGTAGCTTATGCTTCTCGTCAACTAAAAAATCATGAAAGAAATTATCCAACACATGATTTGGAGTTAGCATTGTCCATGCTTTAAAAACTTGGCGACATTATCTGTATGGTGAAAGATTTGAGCTTTACTCTGATCATAAAAGTTTGAAATATCTTTTCACTCAGAAAGAGCTTAACCTGAGACAAAGACGATGGATGGAATACTTAGAAGATTACGATTTCGGTCTACATTATCATCCTGGAAAGGCTAATATAGTGGCAGATGCTCTAAGTAGGAATACACATGGATTTGTAGCAGGACTACAAATTCAGAAATGGAAGATGATGAATTGTATTCAAGATTATAATTTACATGTGAACGTACTTGAGCATGGTGCTTATCTTTATAACCTGGTAACAAGGCCAACTTTGCTAGGAAAAGTTGTTGAAAAACAACAAGAGGATAACTCGTGTAAATCAATTCAAGAACATATTTTGGATGGAGATAAAATAGAAGGTTGGACCTTTCATGAAGAAGATGGTTTAAGGTATTTAGGTAAATTATATGTACCTGAAATTCCAGAATTAAAGAATGAAATTCTTCATGAAGCTCATTACTCGTCCTACACTATTCATCCCGGAAGTACAAAAATGTATCAGGATTTACGTCGTCAGTTTTGGTGGAATGGTATGAAGAAAGATGTAGCCATTTTTGTCTCAAAATGTTTAACTTGTCAGCAAGTGAAAGCTGAACATCAGAAACCCGCTGGCCCTCTTCAACCTTTACCTGTTGCACAATGGAAATGGGATCATATCACAATGGATTTTGTCACAGGTTTACCACGATCACCAAGAGGTAAAGATGCAATATGGGGTTATTGTAGATCGTTTAACCAAGTCTGCACATTTCATATCAGTCAAAACGACAGATTCCACAGAAACTCTTGGGAAATTATATATTCGAGAGATAGTGAGATTACATGGAATTCCTATTTCTATTGTTTCTGATAGAGATTCAAAGTTTACTTCTCAGTTTTGGGGTACTTTGCAAAAAGCATTAGGAAGTCAATTGAATTTTAGCAGTGCATTTCATCCCCAAACTGATGGACAATCAGAAAGGACTATTCAGATTTTAGAAGATATGTTAAGAGCTTGTGTTTTGGATTTTCATGGAACTTGGGAAGATCATCTTGCTTTGGCAGAATTTGCTTATAACAACAGTTTTCAATCCAGCATCGGAATGGCACCATACGAAGCACTCTATGGTAGACCATGTAGATCACCTTTATGTTGGGCGGAAGCAAGTGAAACTGTGTTATTAGGACCTAATTTGGTACAAGAAACAACAGAGAAGATCAAAACTATCAGACAACGCTTGCTTACAGCTCAGTGTCGGCAAAAGAATTATGCTGATAGAAGAACAAGGCCATTGAAGTTTAATATTGGGGATCATGTATTCCTTAAAGTTTCACCTCGAAAGGGAGTTAAAAGATTTGGAAAGTCTGGAAAATTAGCCCCACGATTCATTGGACCTTTTGAAGTACTACAACGGATTGGGGAAGTAGCTTACAAGTTAGCACTACCACCTCAATTTTCGAATGTTCATAATGTATTTCATGTCTCTATGCTTCGAAAATATGAACCGGATCCAGCACATATTTTAGATTGGGGAGAACTAAACATAGATGAGCAATTATCTTTTGAGGAAAGACCAATACGGATATTAGATCATAAAGAACAAGTGTTGCGAACGAAGACTATTCCACTAGTCAAAATCCTTTGGTTACACGGAAATACAGAAGAGGCTACATGGGAATTAGAACCTGAGATGAAAGAAAAATATCCAGAACTTTTTCTTTGATTCGGGTAAGTTTCAGAATTTCGAGGACGAAATTTCTTTTAAGGAGGATAGATTGTGAAACCCCATATTTTTAAATACATATATTAATATTTCATAAAATTAAATATTTACAATTATTAGTCTTCAAAACTATATAATATATCTATAAATATAAATTGTATGGCAAGTTACGTGAAGTTAACTAGTATAGCCTATCAAATGTTTTGCATGGCTTTAATTATTTCAATTCATTTCAGCATTATTTATTTATTATTATATATATATATATATATATATATATATACTTTACAAAAACTGTTAGAAAGACATTTATGCTTACTAAGCATTGTTGAAGACTGACGTGTTGCAATGTAGTGTCCTCAAAACCAATTAAAACATGAGGTGTAAGAATGATAGTTATTCCTATATATATAAACTTGATAGGAGAGTGCTCACTAAGCACTCTACAAAGCCAACACAAAGGCTATTTGAGAGTCTAGGAACCTATAGACTAATTAGGTGGCACAACATTAAGCTTCATCTAACCGACTCCAGCTTACTATAAATAGGTCTACTCAATAGTTCTTTGATCATAGGTACTTCAAGTGTGTTAGTCTCCTAAAAAGCTTAGACAGAATAAGAAAGAGTAAAGTGTGGTGAGATTTTGGAAAAAAGCTCAATTGGGAAGTGTACAATAAGCTTTGGATTTGAGGTAGGGGTTTTTCTTGGGGAAGTTTGTTTTGCATACATTGAGTTAATTAAATATTGTAAATACTACATTATGCTTGATAATATTTGATTGTTGTTATGCTTGGTTATATTGTTTGATTGTTATCCTTGATATTAGATATATACATGTTGTCAATTATCATTATAATTTGATGAATTTTGACATATTCATATGTTGTCGGTGGTGGTTGGAATTTTGGGTTGATAAAGAAATTATGGAAAAGAGGATAATGGGAAGTATCTTTTGTGTAGTTGAGTCTAACCATTGTAGGGACCAAGTTCAGGCGAGCCCGTGTGCGCAGTAGATTAGGAAATCGGCGGTATAATTGTCGATTTGGTGATTTGGGCTTGGAGATCAATGGTGTAGACAAGATGACTAGCAAAAGGGGAATTATGGGATGATTGAAATGGGTGTTAGTTTATATAATGGGGCATTCGAAATCACAGTGGTAAAATGCATGGTATGGGACATGCAGATTTGTTTGCCCTATTATATAGATTAACGGGTTGGGTAGAATTGAAGTTCATTCATGCATTGTATAAATTGTACATTATAAATCTCACTAATCACTTAAGGCATCGGACCCTTACTGAGCATGTAATGCTCACCCCTTATTGAATCTATTGCAGGCTTTGAAACTGAAGTGTAGTTTTTGCTGAGGACAAGAGAATGGATTATGGATAGTTTTGAGTATTTTGTTGAAAGTTTGTTACTTTCTGGTTATTTTGCTTGTAATAATACAATGTAAATTACTTTGACTTAAATGGAAGTTTACGTTCAATCTTCATGTTTCTTGATAATTAAATTTTTAGTTTTAGTTTTGGTTTTTTTGTTTTTTTCTTTTACCTCACATTCCCAAATAATAATAATTGGGGTGTGACAAGCATTTTCCCAGAAGCAGTACTTAGAGATTCTGTAGATTTTTTATAATATTTTGTGGGGATTAATCCTTCTTTTATGCAATTAAGATCAGCTCCTGAATCAAATAAAGCAATAGTATCGATCTCAAAGTCTTTGATAATTATAGTGATCTTGGAATACCATTTTCTAAAGGGGACATGATTAATTAAATTAATGGTTTGATCATTTTTCTCATTTTCCTCAGAATGGGTTGGACTACCTGGTTGGCTATCGGTTTTAGAGGAATTTCTTTCTAATAGAGAATTCAAGTTTTGTCTAATATCATAATTCTCAGTTTGTAGCCTATAACTTAACTGTTTCAACTCAATTATTTCCTTTTTTACGGTTTTAACCTCAGTATGCAAATCATGTAAAGAAATTTCTTTTCTTTTGTGAAATATTTCTAAAGTAGTATTAAGGCTTATAATGGAAGAAGTAGGCTGAACTATATTATTTTCTTGGGCTATGACCTTTCTTAGTTTCTTCAAATACTCAGATTTTAACTCAGGATGTCCTATTTTGCTAATCAAATCAATCAATAATTCTTCTTGTTCTTCTTGCTTAGTTAGAACAGAAATAGATTTAAGAGTATTACAACATTTATCTTTACATCCTATTTGGATATTTGGCGAACTTAGTTGGGAATCAGAAGGCTCATAATCAGAAGACTCAGGATTACTAATCATAGTTATATCTTCATTAGACTCAGAATTACATAACTCTAGTACTTTAATCAGCTTGGCTTTTTCTTCGTCAGTGATCTGTAATTGTCGAATAGTATCTTTTACTTTACACTTATTAGCATAGTGACCAAACTTTTGACATTTATAACATCTTACTTTACTTTTGTCGGTATTTTTCTTAAAGTTCTTATCTTTTGGCTTTTTTGACCAGCTTTTCTTAAAGTGGGGCTTTCTTTTCTTGTAGAACTCATTATTGTGCTGGTAAGAATGCTTTTTACGCTCATAGTGACGTCGTTTACTAAGATGACTAGGGGAGTTATATTATTTTGCCTGGAAGGAGGGGTAAATAAACCATATTGCTCACAAAAATTACCTAACTCATATTTTGCTGATTTCCTCTCAGACTGTATTTGCCTATTAATTTTCATATCAATACACATTTTCATACCTTCTTGGTTAATTGTACTAATAATATTGCCATATGTGAGGCTATCATAGTCTATGTGGCCTAACTCATTGCTTAAGACGGTTCGGATTTTATGGGCAAATAAATTAGGCAATCCGTTAATGAATTTTTCTTTCCAAAAAGCTTGATTACTATCTTCTCTTAACATTACACGTGAGATAAAAACATCTTTATACCATCTAAAATCGCTTAATTGGGGGCATCTTAAATTACTCAATTGATCATGTAATCTAGACTGGGTATGACTTGTAAAGGAGGGTATTGACACCATCTTCTATACCTCAACCTATATTCTCATCAAACAAAGGAAGACCTTCTTCATTAAGTTTTACTGCATGAATAATATCATTTCGAGACTCACTAGATAAATGCTTATCCCACCAAGAACGTAAGATTCCTGTAAATCATGTTTCTAACAAAGGAACAATCTCAGATTGGCGTAAGTTATGATTAGTGATATAGCTATTAGCTACCATGGACATGTGGGTTAATTTGTTCATAATTTCTTGTTCAGATAATCCATCTATATTCCATTCATATAACTTATCAGAAGAAACAGAAAATTGACTCAAATTATTTCTTTCTTCAAATTGAATATCAGGTGGTGTTGGTCTAGGGTACCAATTTTTTGTAAGGCTAGTAGGATTGATTTTATTAGTTAATCTTTTTACTTTTAATTCAGATTCTAATTCTAGGTTTTTAAAAGCATTTTCAATTTTGGAAATATTACTTGACTCAATAGACTCTGTATTTGACTCAGCATCAGTGTCTGACTGACTGACTAGAGTAAAGGAAGATCCTATGACTTTAAGACCAGATTTTTCAGGTTTAACCGGGGTTAATTTCTCAAGCATTTCTTCTATTTTTTTCATAGTGGAGGACGTCTTAAGGGAGAATTTAGGCTGTAGATCTTGAAACTGAACTAGGGGTTTTTCTGTTGATTTAAGCTTAGACTCGGAAGGTAGTGACCTATCAATTTTAGTTTCCATTTTATCTAATTGATTTCCTATAGTGATCAGACTTTGATTTGTATAATTATTCTGTTCAACTAAACGCTTATTGGGCTCATCAGCTTGGTCTGGAATCTTAAAGGGGCTTGCAACTACATTTTTCGTTCCATGTCTAAAAACAATAGTTTCTGCAGGCGGGTGACTGGAAATAACCTCAGATTGATCTAACTTTACCCATTTTTCTTTAGCTAAAGTTTTTAACTCATTTGAAATATAATGGCTTTCTACAAAGAAAAGAAATATTTAATGCTTGGAAAAGTTATATGAGATCTGAGAAAAAAGAAATATATTATATATATATATGCCACACTCTGAGCCTCCCAACCAGCTAAAGACAACATTTCTGATCACCTATCTAATATAGGTGGATCCCACATACACTGTGTGGGGCCACCTAGATTAGAGAGGTGGTTAGTAATGTGGTCGATAAATGTGATATAAATAGCATTATTGTATTTTTTTTCTTCTTTAGGCCGTGAAATTCAGTTTTATTTTTATAGTAATAGCATGCAGGCGGAAGAGATGAGCAATTATAAACGAACTAGAAAAAAAGAAAAAGAAAAAGATGCAAGATAAATTGGGAAAGAAAATACAAGTGGTAACCTAGCAATCCCACTGCTCTATCTGGCATGCTTAAACCTCTGTCCTATTTGATCTTCGTCTAATTAAGAATTTTAACAGACATGCATCACACTGATGTCCTTTTAATCTTTGATTAACTAATTTCTATTTTGTATTTTCCGATTTGTCTTAATTTCTATTGTGGTAAATTAGATTTGTCCGCCCATTTCTTCACACGAGTATATGCTCAATGTGTGACAAAATCAAGCTAGCTAGGTTACAGGTGTCATTTCAAAAAAAAAAATTCTGTATGAGCAATGATCCATCCATATCTATAAATAGACTATATTATTATTATTTTTATATGAAATAATTTAAATATGCTGCCACATCATTGAATCAAGAGCTCCAAGACAAATCATAGAAATCACAAATATACCACCACTTTTCTCTTCTATCAATGCAAAGGTCTTTGCTATGACCTCCCACTATAAAAAGGCCACAAGCCCTGCCCCAGGTTGTGCCACAGTTCCTCCCTCTTTGTATATAATTCACTACCACTTTTTGGCCTAAAGGAGAGCAACCAAATTAGAAATATTAAATAGAGCAGCTTGTGCAGAGCTCCAAACTATGAGTAATTGTACCCTCCCAGAAACACAAGAGAAACTGAC